CTACTACCTATTGAACACTTAAATCTTAACAAATTTATACATATTTAACACAAAATAATAATCAATAAAAAGACAAACATGCGTGCATCTCAAGCACACAAACATACTAAATAGACCAATGAAATAATGACATGTGTCGATTGGATTAACTTATTTTAAAATTTTTATTTAAATAATTCAAAAGGAATTTTAAAAAGAAAAACCAAAAATTATTTTTGAATTAACCCATCCCCACCCCCACCCCACCCCACCATTCTTCTTCATCTTCTTCATCTTCTTCATCAGAACTAATTTTCCTTGGCACTGGGCCGTTGTATCTCAATCGTCAGTATACCATCGCCTCCCCTTTCTTCTTCATCGAATCTTATTCCTTTCACCGACATCGATAATACACCATTGATGTCCATTTAAGTTACTCCTCATTCACCTTTCATTTTTATAGCATTACATCTTCCATTCATTGTCTTCATTTTCTTTTCACTACTAATCATTTATCACAATTATAAGAAAACTTTTGTCGAAAAAAAATCAATTACTTCACTGAAAAATTATTTTCATCGAAAATAATGGACCTTCGCCGGAAATATTTGAGACTTTAATTAAATCTATATAAAAAAAAAAAAGGAAGAAGAAGAAGAAGAAAAAGAAGAAGAATTGGAGAATTGGAGAGGGAGAGAGAGAGAGAGTTGGGTGTAGGTAAAGAGATTATGGAAATTGGAATAGTTGAAGATGGCAGAAAATGGAATAGTTGAAGATGGCAGAAAGCTTCCTTCGTTTTTTTAATTAATTATTATTATTATTTATTTGGTTAGGTGTATAGGTTGGAAAGAAAAGAAAAGAAAATATATTTTTAATTGATTTACTCGCTTTAGGAGAGTGATGTACACGTTTTTTGCCATGTCAGCGTTTGTGTCTAATTGACATCACTTTTGAGCAGATAAAGTGTTCAATAGGTACAAACCTTAGTTGAGGTGTTCAAGTGAATTATGTGGACAACTTTAGGTGGCCGTGGATGACTTTGGCCTTAAATTTACTATTTATTTTGAATATTTGTGTGAAGCATGAACCGGCTGATTTCGGTACTCAGAAGTGGGTAATATTCTTGTTATTTCATCCTTAAGTGTGAGGATAATATATGCATGAAAAGCTCGTCGGTTATTTGCTTAAATTATTTTTGGGAGGGTTTTTCCGTCATAAGTTGAAATTCCACTCCGTATCAACTTTGACATCACATAAATGTTTAAATGGGCAAGATGCACATCCTTAACCAAATTATTCGTTATGAACCTAATCCCTCTACTAGATTATAGTCAATATGCCCTCGTTAATCGCTTTTGAATGTCGCAAGTATTAAATTATGTTTCATCTTTGAGCCGTAGTATCCTTCCGAAAGGGTCACTGCACTTCATCACCATCATCAGTTAACTATCAATATCATTTCACTACTAGTTATCATCCACCATCAATAATAACCACGGTTGATCAATATTGTCAACCACTATACTATAAGATATTATCCATAACCACCATCATTCCAAATCGACACACACAATTATCATTATTAGACATCACGTCACCATCAATTGCCTTATAAAAAGATTTAAAATATTTTATTAATATAATATTAAATCAATTTAGTATTTTATTTGAATTTTATATTTATTATTTTTTAAACAAATACAAATTTTATATATTCAGATGTTGAGAAAAAAAAATCTTAACTATTTAGTATTCAAATTTTCATTCAATGTCTAAATATTCATTCAGATTTCGACCTTTAGGAGACTGTTTGGATTGCTTTTTTTTTTAATTCAACTTTTGGCCTTTTTAGCCTAAAAAAGTGTTTAAAACACTTTTTGTATTTTCCAAATAATTTCTAAATTAAAAAAAGAGCTTAAAAGTTAAAAAACCAAGTCTATTTAAAATAAGTCAATTCAAACACTTTTTGTGCATTATCAATGCATTAAGATTCAAACGTCTTAATCTTTTAATGAAAACAAATAAGCCACCAATCATGTTAAAAGACTTCATAAATAAACAATCAGTTATGTATTTCAATTTTGACTTCCGTGTTGAAAAAATAAGTTTTAACAAGACTTACTTTTTTAAAATATGTTTCTGCTTATATCTAGATGTATGATAATGTTTCATACCATGTTATGAGTACCATACATGTGTCGATCATGTAGGCTTGATGCATGACAAATTGATCTCTAATGTGAATACCACACACCAAGTAAGAAACCAAAAATTAAAAAGGAAAAAGAAAGGCCAAGTGGCCAACTAAGTAGAGTAGAGAGTAAATGAACAGTCATCTATGTTTGAGAAATTACTTAGAAATATCACTTTTGTTTTTTTGAGGATTACAATGTTACCCAATTGTTCTTATTTTCCTCAAAATACACATGACACAACAAAAACACACTTCTCTCTTCTAATGAGATGGCATGCCACATTATTCGTTTTTTTGAATAACAATTTTCTAACACTTTTAAATCATCCATATTTTATACCCAATAAAAGAATTATTATTTTTCCATATTGTTAAAAAAAGGAATTTCTAATATTGTTGTTAAAAATGCCATGTCACATTCTTTAAAATTCTGTTACTTTTAATAAATTTCCTTTTATTTATTTATTTATTATATTTGAAAAAATAGCATTTATATTTATCTATTTTACCATATCAAGAGAAAAATAAAAATAAATTTTATTTTTACTTTTAGAATTAATTATTCATTCTAAATTCTTTTCTATTTTTAGTTGTTCACTTTAGCATATCAAGAGAAAAACAATTTAGTTTCCTACTATTACGTTTAGGGAAAATACATTAAAAAAAAACCCTGAACTTGGCACGAAAGCTTACTTTAGTACTTAAACTACATGGGTGTTTATATAACCCCCTTAACATATTTGATGTGAATATTTTCAACTCTCCGAACACCAGCCCAGTTAAAGGCTGGGCATTGTTACACACACACATTTTCATTGGTCCACGTCGCTAAGGGTTTAAAAAATATCTTACCCGTTTTATATAACCCACCCGTTCCCAAAATACAACCCGACCCATTTCTAAACAAATATCCCTAAATCTCTAAGCCCGATTCTCATTCTCTCAAATCTACAAGACCTAAGCTGAAGATTTTTCTTTCGTTAGTGTGAAGGATTTGTTGAGTTTAGGGTTTTTGTGCAAGAAGTAACGAGAATCTAGAAAAAACAGATAATAAGAAAAAGGAAGGAAAGAAAAATCAAAATAATAGATGAAGAAGAATAAGTTTGAATCTTACATTTTGAAGAACAATTATTCCTTCAAAGATTCAACTTTTAGGTTTGAAGAGCTAAGATTTGGGAAAAAAAAAAAGAAAAAAGAATTAGGTCACCATTTTTGGATGATTGGGTTGGTGAGGGAGAAGAGGAAATTAGGGTTCTTTAAATGTGAAGATGGATCTTCAAATACGCAATGGGTCGGACATTACTGTTGGAGGGTCAAATTTTATTTTTAAAAAAATGATAAAAGATGAATTACGTGACGTTCCAAGCTGTATCAACACGCGCACGAGGCTGGTGTTCGAAGGGTTGAAAATAATTCATATCAAATATGTTAAGGGGGTATATAAACACTCGTGTAGTTTAAGTACTAAAGTAAGTTTTCGTGCCAAGTTCATGAATTTTTTATGTATTTTCCCTTACATTTAACATTAATTATTTATTCTAAACCATTTCTCAAATCAATCATTCTTTAAGTTCTTAAAGAATATGCAAAGTGCACACTATTAATGGGATGCCATGTTTAGTTGTTCATTTTTTGGTTTAGCAATAACTTTTTCTAACTGCGCTTATCATATTTGCTTTAGTTCTAGAATTTCTATATAGGGGAAATCTAGTTCTACTCTATCCGTCCGTCTTTATATCTTTACTTTTTCAGTATTAATTTAACACATTTGTTAAGAATTAATAAATAGAATGATAATTTTATTATATCACTCTCTGAATATAATAAATTTAATATTTAAAAAATGTGTTGACAATGACTATAACTAATAATAAGAGTAACTTAGAAATTAAGTGATAAATTATCAAATTAGAAATTAAGTGATAAATTATCTCTTAATTTTCTAAACTAAACAAGTAAAAATGAATATTTATTTATAATATAAAAAATAAAAATGGACGGATGGAATAGTTGCTAGGAAAAAAAAGTCCATAAAATAAGTTAGTTGATACAATACTCTTGATTTTTGATAAATACGTGAAAACTGTTCTCTAACGTCACTTTTTTTTTTCTTTTTTCTGTTCACTTTTACTTGTTTTAATATGCATTCTGCACATTCTTTAAGAACTTAAAGAATGAATAATTTGAGAAATGATTTAAAATAAATAATGAATGTTAAACGTAATAATTGAAAAATAAATTATCTTTTTCTTGATATGCTAAAATAAACCACTGAAATGGAACATAATTTAGGATGACTGTTAATACTAAAAGTAAAAAGTATAATTTCTTTTTATCTTTCTCCTCCTGATATAATAAAATAGATAAATACAAATTTTATTTTATTTTTAACATAATAAACAAACAAAAATAAATTTATTAAAAGTAGATGGAGTTAAAAATATGACATGACATTTTTAACAACATTAGTTTTCTTTTAACAATATGGAAAAGTAATAAATTTTTACTGGGTATAAAAAATTATTTGTTAAAAAAATAGAAAATAATGTGACAGGTCATTCTCGAGAAAGATGTTTTTATTACGTATATTTTGAAAAAAATAAGAATAGTTAAGTCATAATTATTATAATCTAAAAAAGAAATAAAAATAATATTCTTTTGACAATTTTCCAAATATAGATATAGATGACTTTTTAGGAAATTTACTGATAGAGTAGGAGATTGCAATTTCGTTTAAGTTTGAGGGCCGTTTTATCATTTACCTGAAATGTTGGTAAGTGGGATTCACATAGGATATATATTCGCGCAGAGAGAGAGAGAGAGAAGGAGGAGGAAGAGTGTGAGACTATGGAAGCTCCGAAGTTATTGCTGTTGATTTTGCTGATTCCTTGCGACTTGTTTATCGGCAAATCCCTCGGAGATGGCGTCACTCATGAAGAAGCCAAAGAGCTCAGAGATGAGGTAACCTTATTCCTCTTCTCCTTATCAATTGTTCACAAGCAGATCGAAAAAACATTTCGATGTTTTGAAATGTTGATCATCAAGTTCAATTATTGATTGCTTCTTTTAGTTCCAAATGTAGTTGTGTGAAGTGTTCTTTGATTGATACAATTGATCGCTGCATAAAATTATTTATTTTGAGAATCACTGACAGCTCTCCGATAGGAATTTTAAAGTTGAATTAACGGAGAATATCTCACGTTCCATAAAATTGCAATGGATGGAGCAGGTGTCAATTTGAGATAAAAATGTATTCGTTATAATGAGAAAGCTTCCGTTTGAAGGGGAATTGTTACTGAAGATATCATAGAGAAATGTGAAAGGAATAAGTATTAAGAGCTAGGAATAGACAGTGGCATGGTGATTGATGTTGAAGGGTCCATCATTGAACTTCTCGTTTGGAAATCCAAACAATTGGTACCCTTTTTGTAGAAGGGGAAGAAGTATTTCTCTTTCCTTCCAGCCTCACATTATTATATCTGCTTTTACTATTAATCTCGCCCTTATATCCTAGTTCGGAAGAGTAGGGTGGTTAAGGATAAAAAACGTGACAGAAAGTTGGGTAGATAATACCTTGTTCATTTTTTTTCTGTTTTGCCTTCCCTTTAGATTTGAAAATTAATAACGTGATTAAAAAATTGTGATGTTTCGTTACTTTTTAGGTGCGTGAGATGTTCTACCATGCATTTAACGGATACATGAACCATGCTTTTCCACGCGATGAGTTAAGGCCTTTATCTTGTGGAGGAGAAGACACACTTGGTGGCTATGCCTTAACATTGGTAACAAGACAGCTTTTTTGTTAGACTACTAGCTTTTCTTGGTAAACATACAGTAAGTGTTCCGATCATGTGCTTTTTTACAGATTGACTCATTGGACACCTTGGCTTTGCTTGGTGACAGAGAGCGCTTTACTGCTTCTGTTGAATGGATTGGTAAAAATCTTCGGTTTGATATTGTGAGTATGGAATTTGTATAAAAGCATAATGAACTTAGGAGTGAATGATTCTGCTCTTTAATAGACATTGCCTTAATGAATTTCAGATCATTAAATTGTTGAAGTTGGATTTAGAAGCAGTCATCTGACTTCGTGAAAGTTCTTTTTTTCCATTAACTCCTTTTGAGTGCCATGGAAAGGTGGTCTCGAATATGAACATAATCATTCCTGTCTATTGATGGGTAATCACGTACTGTTTAGTGGCCATAATGCTTCGAATGTTGAATATATAAGTTTTGATGCTTGGGGCCTTGTGTTCAACTTGTATGACAAAACCGAACTTAAGAATCATCGAGTAGTTTGACGAGGTTGAACTAAAGTTGTGATCTCCCTATGCTTGATGCTTTTATCTGCTCAGCAAATAACTGACGTGTGTAAATTTAAGTTACTAATAAATTAGAATACTAAACAATTCATATTTCTTGTAAAAGGATAGTCATTTTTATGATTAGCTAGCTTTATATTGTAAGCTTAGAGTTTGCTGCTTGCTATTTACAGCTCGTTGACATAGAAGTAGCCTCTTTTGCATGCCTCATGGCTCATTCTGGAATTTATCCATTTAAAACTTGCCTCCAATGTTTGATATCTGTGCTTATTTGCTGTGTTTTAGGGAAGACATCTATTAGAAAAATGGTTAAAATGTGACAATAGTTCAAATATACTGTCCACTTCTCTTGCCGAGATTTAGGTTATGTTTGATAAAGACGAAAACTAGATAAACCAAAATCTGAAATCTATTTGAGTTTTTTTTTTTTTTTTGATGAAGTAAGTAGATTCATTTCAAGGCATCAAGAAGATGCAAGCTTTACAAGGATAGATCAGTTAAGCTCACAAAAAAAAGGATTTGTAGCCTCTTTCTAAGCTATAGAGCTAACAAAATCCAAGAAGAGTTCTAAATTATTTGCAGGGGTCAGTTTGGACCAACTAAAAAGGCAAACTATTTGAGTTGTTGAGCTGTAAGAGTTAAAAGGATGAGTTTTGTGAATTTTGATATATTTCAAAACAAAATTGAGGTGGCAATTCAACATGAAACTAAGGTGCAAATTATGAGTGTTAACATGTTTACAACTATTCAGATTTAATGTTGGGGTTTTCTAATATATAGAAATGGTAACTATTAAATGGAAATGGAAATTAAAATTAATTCTTTATACAAGAGATAGAACTGAACTTTACTTGAAATAGTATAGCATTTATTAGGTATTGTTTGGATTACTGAAATATGTTTGATGACTAGTATACTTATTACGGTTTACCCAGAAAAATAATTTCTAGTCTATTGGTACACTCTAGTTGTTACTGTTGAATTAGGTGAGCAAACAACCCTGTATTCACCTTGTCATAATCTGTTTTGTATCTTCATGAAGAGGGTTTAGCTCGGAGTTCCAATACCTTTAACTAGAATCTAAGTTTTTAAGATAAGAGCAAGAAAAAAACGTTGTTCATATACGCTGCTCCTAAGTTGCTCGGACTCTTCGTTTTCGGTGCCTCACCCACGTTGACACGACATGGGTTTGGGATCCATACCCACTCTCTGTAATCAAAACAAAAACTAAGTAAAATTGAAGAAAATGGAATACCTTGTATATATAAATTTCTATTGTCACTCACTGTCTTTTAATTACCTTCCAAGATTCTCCTCTTGATCAATATTTTCTCCTCAAGTTTTCCACATAATATCTCATAATTTAGGTCATATAACTCTATTTTTAAATTTTAGATATATGAATTATTTTTAGCCGAATCCCCACAGTCATATCCATATATTGATCCGTATCCCCAAATCTTAAAATCTAGATCATTGAGGATCCAACCTCTAGATCCACACCCGTATCTTACACCCACACTCGAGTCAAGCAACTTACCTATGCTTTATACCTTCCTAATAAGTTTTTACCTTGTAAGGAGATTGTTGGAGTAGTACAGGGTTAGGAAGAAAGACTTACACATGATGTTCATTGACCCCGAAAAGGCATACAATAAAGTTCCTAGGGAGGTCTATGGAGGTGTTTGAAGTCTAGAAATGTACTTGTGGCCTACATTAGGGTAATTTAGGACATGTACTATCAACAATGGAGCCAAGGCTAGGGTAAGATAATGGGAGGTGACTCAAAACACTTCTTGATTTTGATGGGGTTGCACCAGGGATCGACCCTTAGCCCATTCCTAGTTGTGTTAGTGATAGATGAATTGACACTACATATACAAAGAGAGGTGTTGTGATGTATATTATTCATAGATGACATAATATTGATTGACGAGACTCATGCTTGAGTTAATGATAGGTTGGAAGTTTGGAGACAAACCCTAGAATCTAAAGTTTCCAGGTTAAGCAGGACTAAACCAGAGTACTTGGAGTACAAGTTCAGTGACGTAATGCATAAAGCATAGATGAAAGTGAAGATCGATACAAAAGTCGTACCCGAGAGAGGAAGTTTGAAGCATCTTGAGTCTATAATCTAAGGAATCAAGGAGATTGACAATGATATGACACATCGTGTTGACGCGGGGTGGGTGAAGTGGAAGCTCGTGTCAAGAGTATTATGTTATAAGAATGTGTTACCAAGGCTTAAAGGTAAGTTCTATAGAGTGGTGGTTAGACCTACATTGCTATATGGGTAGAGTGTTGACCAGTCAAGAATGTATAGAGTGGTGGTTAGACCTACATTGCTATATGGGTAGAGTGCTGACCAGTCAAGAATGTACACATCCAAAAAAGAAGGTAATGGAGATGAGCATGCTAGGATGCATGTATGGGCGTAGGAGAGATAAGATCAGGAACGAGGTTATACAGGTCAAGGTGGGAGTGGTTTTCGTGGAGAACAAGATAAGGAAAACGAGGTTAAGATCATTCAGACATGTGAAGAGGAAGTGCACAGATGCACCAGTAAGTAAGGAGGTGTGAGTGGTTGGTTATTGCAGGTCTTAAGAGAGGTAGAGGTAGGAGGATAAAGAACTAGGGAAGGTGCTTAGACAGGACATGATACACCTTCATCTTACTCAGAATATGACCCTAGATAGGAAGGTTTGGAGGTCGAGGATAAGGGTAGACAGATAGTAGGTAGCCAAGTGTTTTCATACTTATATGTGGAAGAGGTTGGGAGTGGGTCTCCTCTTCTCCTCTTCTCCTTATTTAGTCGTATTAGTTAGTATTCACGTATTATCTTATTATTTAACTTTCACTACTACTTGTTGCTTCATCTGCTCTTTGCTCTATTTATTTTGCCATTTTGCTATATGTTTCTTTCAAATCTGCCTTATTACAACAACTTTTCTACCTTGCAAAGGTAGAGTTAAGGTTTGCATATATCCTTCCCTCCCCAGACCCCACTTGGGACTACTCTGGGGATGTTGTTGTTGTTGTAATACTTCTAACAAGCATTTGAATTCTTAAGATAAGAGTAAAAAGAAGTTTTGTCCATTCAATATACTTGACTGATATTGAAGGTTTATGTTTGACATTAATCTTTTGCCTGGCATCCTTGTGAAACTATTTTTCCATTTTCATTTCTGTCACAATTTTCTGAGGATGAATATCTTGTACCACTACTTTTCTGAGTTTATGAATTTTACTATGTATTTGCAGAACAAAACAGTATCTATCTTTGAGACTACAATCCGTATCCTTGGAGGTTTAATTTCTGCTCATCTCATTGCAAGTGACCACAACACGGTATCATATTCATTACTATGTTTTTCTTGAGTATTTTAAAAAGTATTACTTTCTATGGTAGTTAACTTAAGCCAAGTGGAATTCTCTTGGCTACTTTCTCCAAAATATTTTAACCAGGTTCTTTCTAGAACTACAGGGCATGAGGATTCCCTCTTATGATGATGAGTTGCTTCACTTGGCTGAAGACTTGGCACGGAGAATGCTGCCTGCATTTGATACTCCTACAGGTATGGAATTGGATTTTGGTGATAGTCGATATCAGTTGGGTAGAATCAATCATGTTAAGAATGTAGTGTAATTATTGTGAATAAGTTGTACATTAACTAGGGAGATTATTTTTCTTGTAACTGTGTAACTTTGATTTCGTTCTTATTTTAAATGTGTGTATAGCTTGACAGAATAGTTAAGCTTAGCTTTCTGTCAATATTCTCTTGTGTTCTTCATTTCTTACATGATGTCAGAATCAGTCCCATACTTGTTGTGTTTCTCAATGTTGGACCTCCTTTTAAGTTTTCATGCTCTGATATCCAATTCTAGACATGCAACGAGGGGTTAAGTATTCAACATTAGTTGAATGGATTTTTGTCTCTATATTGTCTTGGACAATTCTGACCTCATGATATAGCTCTTGGGTTTTAGTTAGGGTTATGAACATTTGTATTGCAGTTGTTCAGCAGGGTACCCTCTGATAGGCGTTCATACTTCCAAATGTTGCATTTCTAGTTGGAGGCACTTTAGATTTCAGACGAGCAATGACAAATTGTAGTTGTAAGATCCAGTGCAAAAGCAGAACATCTAGCAATGATAGCATTGAATTATAATCTTATATGGATCAAACAACTAGGGAAAGAATTAAAGTCGGGAAGAATCGATCATATGGAGCTTGTGTATGATAATCAAGCTGTATTTCATTTTGCTTCAAATCCGATGTTTCATGAGAGGAAAGTACATAGAGATAGATTGTCATTTTGTTTAGAGAAAATATATTCTTAGGACACATTGACATAAAGTTTGTTAAGTCAAATAATCAACTTAAATATATCCACTAAATTTATTACTGGCCTCAAACTAGTTCTATATGTCACTAGTTTGATACATACAATTTGTACGCACTAGCTTGAGTAATAGTGTTAAGAATAGTGTGTAGTTACTGTAGATATGTTGTAATCAATTAGGGAGATTTTTTTCTTGTAATTATGTAACCTTGATTTCCTAACTATTTTGAAATAGGTATATATTACTATTCAAAAATCCAATAGTTTAACATAATAACCAAGATAAACTTTCTAAAAGAATAACCAAGCTAAACTTAACTATTTATTACCATTGCACCAAAGAAGGAAGGTGTGATGAGCATAAAGGATTTTAGACCTATTTGCCTGGTAGGAAGCATTTATTAGATTTTATCTAAGGTGCCTTCTAATAGACTAAAGAAGGTCTTGAATGAGACAGTGTCCTCTTCTCAGAACGCTTTTTTTTTTTTTTGAAATGGGTAACTTGTGTTCCTCAGCATTAAGGGCTATGCTGGCCACCTCCAAAAAGTATTAACAGAGAAGAGAGAAAAAAAGAAGAAAAAAGAAACAGAAATACTTACAAAGAACCTACGAAATCAACTAATTGGATTTCCTCTTCTATATTTTGTTCTTTACACCAAAAACCTAAGGAAGTAATTACTTTCCATTTAATCTTCTGTATTGAGCATTCTTTTCCTTCAAAAATCCTCTGATTCCTTTCCTTCCAAATATTCCACCAGATACAAGCAGGTACTGTCCTCCACCACTTCTTTTGACTCTTGCTGCCCCCCCCCCCCTCGTGTTCTGGCATACACCAGTTTAGGCTAGCTAAATTGAAGAATAAAGCCCATACTTGTGTTGTTACTTTGCAATGCAAAAATAAGTGTTTGTTGGTTTCCAGTACCTCTTTGCATAGTAAGCATCTAGAGGCTATGTTGATACGCTTTTATGGAAGGACGATAGATACTGGATGTTGCTTTGGTGGCAAGAAAGAAGAGAGGGGTTCTGGGTATTTTATGTAAGTTGGACCTTGAGAAAGCGTACGATCATGTGAATTGGGAGTTCCTGGATTTCATGATGTTGAAGATGGGCTCTGGAGAGAAATGGAGGAGATGGATCAAGTTCTGCATTTCTACTGCCAGATTCTTTGTTGTGGTAAATGGTAATCCGTGTGGAATTTGGTGAATTGAGAGAGTAGAGAAACTGTTAGTGGGGTGGCAAACGAGGTACTTGTCTAAAGGGGGTAAAGAAGTTCTGATCAAAAGCACTCTTTCTAGCATTCCAGCATACTTCATGTCTCTTCAACAGGCTCTGGGCTAAGTGACTGAAAGTTTGGCAAGACTACAACGTAACTTTCTTTGGGACTCAGCGGAAGACATTAGGAAGAATCATCTTGTGAATTGGAGAGTTGTTATTTTTCCGTTGCGATGGGGTGGACTTGGAGTAAAGGATCTCAAGGTGTTCAATAAAGCTCTGTTAGGGAGGTGTATCTGGAGATTTGGGGTGGAAGAGAATGATTTTTGGAGTGGTGTGGTTGCAGAAAAATATGGTATGGTGGCTGAAGGACTAGGAACATTGTAACTCCGTTTGGGTGTGGTTTGTGGAGGAGTATCATGAAGGGGTGGGGGGTTTTTTGTGGACATTTTGTTTAAGATTCCAAAAAGAGATGACAGTCCAACAAATTGGTAGGTCTCATGAGGGCATGTTCCATTGGGACTTAAGATTCATAATGAACCTGCACGATTGGGAGATGGAATTCCACAGTTTTGATTGAGTTGTTGTATGGGCTCAATTCACCAAATAACTCATTGGATGTATGGAGGTGGTGGGACAGTGGAGATGGTTTATTCACAGTTAGCTCTTTTTATAAGAGGTTACTAGTGAGAGAGGAATGTTCTTTCCCCCATGATTTCATTTGGATCCCTAGAGAGGATTAGCTTTTTTGTACGGTTGGCAGCTACGGGGGCGACTTAACAATGGAGAATCTTTGAAAGACGAGGATCACATATGTTAGTTGGTGCTTTCTGTGTAAGAGTCAAGGTGAAAATGTAGATCATCTTCTTTTGTATTGTAAGGTGGTTTGCCGGTTATGGAGGGTGGCCCTTAATTGGTTTGAGATGCAATGGGTGATGCCTGGTGCAATGAAGGAAGCTTTGCAAAGTTGGACCCATAGAAGCCGAAGAGATGCTCAAGGGCATGGAGCGTTGCCCCATTAGCAATCATGTGAGTCATTCAGAAAGAGAGGAATAATAGGGCCTTTGAGGGTGTAACAAGATTTTGTAAAAAGTAGTATTTTGTCTGTAGTTTCTTTTTGGTGTACTTATGAGGTTCCTATTTGTATAGAGGATTAGACCTCTTTTGTTGAGAACCATATTTTGATTTAGGTTCTCTCCTTTGGTATATGGCTTGCATCCGGGATTTCCCAATTGTTAATAAAAGCATTTACCTTGTCAATAAATAAATAAATTCTCTCAGTGTTCTCCTTATTCTTTATTTCTCAGAAATTGTTTTTCCGCCCCTTCACAGGAATGTCCCTACATTTAAAACAAAATATTTTTGATAACGTGTACAATTAAAACAAAATTCTAATGCTTTCTGGAGCAGCCTTGACTCTTCACCGCAGATATTTACACTTTTTCTTCCACCCATCTCCTTTCAATCCTCTGGAGCAAAGCTTGTTTTTTCTTCAGAACCTCCATGTGTACTCCTTGTTGCTTGCCCGGCTTGAGTACGTTTTTTTTTATTCTAGAGACTTCACCTGATGTTAGCTTTATCTGGATGTCCACATGTAATCTTCCTTCTGTTCCAGGGTAGCGACATTGTGTTAGTGGCAATTGATCACCATCTGAAGGGAGTTCAGAGACAACTCCCTCAGTGGTCTATCATAATGGAATGTGGAATCAATTCTGCACTATCCCAGCTAGCACCAGCATAGGTAGCTCTCGACTTCCACTATCTGCCGGTTCTGCCTAAAATGATTCAGCTTGAAGCCTCTTTCTCAATTACAACGGGTCATGGAAAGAATACTTATTAATCTTGTCAGCGAAAAAATGTCCATTAATTAGATATTATTGCTTGAGGTGCTTGATAAAGATCCTAGGCTTGTTCATCTCATGGTTATTGGATTTGGATTGCCATGAGGCTTGTCCAGCCTGACAATCTCTAGTTGCTTCACCAAAGTAGATCTATGAGTAGAGTTTTTTGGTTCTTAGTTTTGTTGGATATTTTATGACCCACACAAGTATTTAATGATAAAAGCCTAAGGTTTTTGAAGTGTGCATTTGAATCTAACACTTTCCTATCCTCGTAACAAGATGTTACCTGTCTTATAATCCGAATTACTTTTGCTGCAGGAATTCCATTTGGATCAGTAAATTTGTTGCATGGAGTCGATGAAAATGAAAGCAAGGCATATCCTCTTTGTATTCTCCTTTTCTCTTTCCCGTGCTGTATAAGACTTCTTTCTACAGTGTTATTATGTCTAGTATGGCAGTGGTTGAGATGGAGCAGACATTCTGTATTCAATCTTGCTTCAGATTTACTTATCAAGAAAAGGAATCTGTGACTGTCCTGGTTCTACATAATCTTTGTAGATGGAAACATCTTGTGCGGCATTGTGCTTCCCTATTCCTTCCAAAGAAACATAAGAGAAAAAACAGAAGTAAAGAAGAGAACACCAGGGACCCTCTTGAGATGATCCTTGTTTATCTCATCTGACAGACATGAATGGGGCTAGAGCAAACAGCCACCAGACTGCTATTTTTGAATTAAGGATTACTATTCAGTACTTTTAATAGATTTGACCTGGTTGATGGCCTGCATGAGAAATGAGAACCAGTATGACAGGAGAAGACATAATCTACTTGACGTTAGTCATGAAAAGTGATATATGAAAATATTCTGTTTTATTGTCTGGTGGACTGTGTATGTTCAAATGAGATGTGTTGTGCATGCCATGGACATTTTATAGATATCTGATAGTCCAGTTTCTTTTAATTCTTAATCAACTTTTCTTGCCTGAGATATGCACACACATCATCACCCTATACTAAAGCTATATTTTTGGGTGCCTAGATAACATCAACTGCTGGTGGAGGGACACTGACATTAGAATTTGGGATACTCAGCCGCTTAACTAATGATCCCAGTAAGTGTTACTCTCTTGATCTGATGTATCAAATTTTTATTCAACCTCTGATCTTAGTCAGGAGGACCTCTAGTATTTTGTTCAGATTTACCAAACCTATCACGAATAGGAGTTTGTTTCAGCGGAATGTAAGGTTACACACTTAGATCCTTGTTGGAAAGAACACGAACGAGCATGTAATGTAGGAAAAATGAGTATATCTTTCGAAATCCAGTGGATCTTTTGAAAGTTTGAGAGTTAGAGTGAGGTTTCAGTTATTGCCCTAATGATGGATAAGATATGGGTACTCAAACAAAGAGCAACATTAAATATGCTTGAGAGGAAAGAAAGCAGATGACAAAAAGAGAGAATATTGTGAGGAATGGAAAATGACTGAAAAAACTCCAGAATGAATCTGCATATGCCTTGTAGTGGATTCTTTTCCATTTTTATTACAAAGGGAATGGAAAAAGAAATTATGAGACTGTTCAAGAACTATAGCATTACTGTTAGGAATTTTAAACACATTATAAAAATCATCTGCATATTTAGAGAAGGGTAAAAAAGATACTGATACTTGTCTTTTGGTTGCTCTTAGCTGGAACAATAAAAGAACAACTCTCTCTTAAAATGCTTGTTTAGTATGGTTTCTGTACATCTATGGTTAAGGGTTATATTGTTTAAGGATCTCTCAAGTGCGTGTGAACGGTAAAGAGCATCTTGCACCTAAATTATATGCTAGAACTGTTCTTTTTATGACAGTTCAGTGAGCAAACACAAAGGTTGATCTAAATTGATTTTCACAGGACTATTGATTGGGGCTTTGGTCTTTAATTGTTACTCTCTAACTTGGTTTAGTAACAAATCTTAGATATTATTTGCATTATCGACAACAAATCTTAGATATTATTAGGGTTCTTCAACAGCTTGAGACTTTCTTTTGTTTTTTTGTGCTGGTAGATGACTAGGTATATTGTTTTACTTATTCCCTGAACAACATTATGTAATTTCTTTTGTACTTTGGAAGTTACTTGGTTGAAATAAGTAGGAAAAGAAAAGCCTGAACCTGTTAAAGAGCAAGACTTTTTTTTTTGGTGTGTGGGGTGATTTGAGGTGTTTGGTAAGTTAGTCAGGGAGGTGCCCAATTAGATGTCTGGAGTTCTTTTGTAGTCACTTAACAGTTAACATTAAAGTTTGTGCACTCATCCGAGTCTCTAAGAATAGTCAACTCTCTCCATTCTAACATTTAATGTGGACTGTTAAAGTTCGGACACAAATCTCATTTCTCAAGCCCTCAACTAGCAGACCTTCTAAAATTTTCTGATCAGCCGTTATATTTCCCCCTTCATTGTGTGTTTGGTAAATTGCGCAGGTAATTCTTGCAGTTTTTCTTTGGGAACTTATGCTTATTCTTGTTATAATGAAAATGCAGTTTTTGAGCAAGTTGCAAAGAATGCAGTTCGAGGATTATGGGCTCGCCGGTCAAAGATCAATCTAGTTGGTGCTCATATAGATGTTTTTTCGGGTGAATGGACACAAAAGGTCACATTCTTTTAAAACTAGGATATGCATTTTGTTATTATGATAAGACGTTTGATTTGACTTGATTCATGATGTCACACAACTTGAAATCCTTATTGCTTTTAATAGATAAGACAATAGCTTCCACATGTTAATTCTTAACGATTGTTGCAAAAATCTTGTATGAGTTTGCAAAGTATATCTGGTTTCACTTGGATAAAGGAGGAACACACTGTAGTAGGTTGATGGCTGGTATAAAAGCATCAAATTATGATGATAGGGTATCCTTATTGCTGAGTCTGACTAGTCTGGATTTGGGCATAGTTGAGAGTCAAGAGAGATGTCAGTATCTTGGTCGCCGGTCCTTTAACTCTTATTCTTGCCCGCTGGAGATGATTTTTCAAGTCAGTTTCCTCTTCTGTTTCAATCCACCCCCCGCATCTCTCACCTATTTTCTTCATCATCCATCTGGAGGGGTAACACCAGAACTCGAATACAGCACCATTCGAATTGGTGGCTCTTAGGAAATGATGCAGCTGTTGGTAACCACCACTGCATATTTTGTCTGCTTTCTTGTCTCCTCCAAACTCCCATCAGAACATGCTCAGCTGCTTTTCTGGATTGGAACTCGAAAAGGAACGTTAATCCATTCATGTCGTAGACCATAACTCTCTGTGCTCCTTTCCAAGCTTGTTGTGCCCATCATCTATGTTTCTAGTAGGGGTATCTTCTTTACCAGCAAAATACCCCACTAGACTTCTGCCCAGTTGGTCTTTGCCAGCAAAATGAGCTTGTGCTTTTATCATGCCGGCATCATCATCTTCCTCTGCAGACTGCAGATACCTCTGTTTTTTTCTGTGTCCATTTGTTCTTACGTAGCATTTTCATGTAACTCCTTTTCCCTTTGTTTGCGGCAAGATCTGCCTCTCCTGTGTATTTATACTCCCTTGTGGTAGTTGGACCTCTTTAATGAAGGAATTTAGTATGTCTGCAAGCATCCCCATCCTTTCATTAGATGCATATTTTCTGGTAGAATAATAATTGGCCTGTCTTTGCCCTTAATTGTTCATCAATGATAAGAATCCACCACTCTTGTTAAATTTTTGAGATAGGAAAATACTTGGAATAATCTTTGCATCTCCAAGTTTTGAAAGATTTCCCTCTGGTTCCCGATGCTTTGCTGGGTCTCCTGCCAATCCAGATAAGAGCCCCTTTGCTCAAAACCATTCTCCTCATATGATATCTACCGCTTTCTACCCAATCATACCATATTTCTGCTTTTGATTGCGATTCAATAATATCATAAAACTTCCCCTCTGATCGGAAATAAATTCTGTTGTCCATTCTGTTCGTGAGGAACGGAGTGGGGAGAGAAAAAAGGAACTAGGAAGAGAAAGAAGAAAAAAGGGAGCTTTCCGGTGGACAAAGTCTACTGGAATAGGATTCACAAAGCCCAGAAGGAACTTTAGGGAGATGCCTCGGAACAAGTGCCTGAGAGCATTTAATGATGATTTTTTAATTCTATGATCTTTTTTTTTTTTTGGAAAAGAAAGCAGAAGATTTTTTTAAAAATAGTTATTCAATTATGTTCCACTCCGAACAAAATTCAATTGCCAAGTCTAATCATTTTTTATTTTTGGTTGATGAAATAAGAGAAATATCATTAACAAAGCATCATGCAGATGCACAGATTACAAAAGAAAGAAAATATCAGCTCCCAGCAAGGCAAAAAAAGCTATTAAACATCTAACAATGGAGATCTATGGGGTTGGTAAATTCCTGAAAAGAATCCACAGTAAGTACAGGAGTGAGATCAACCCAACCAAAAAGAGTAATCAAACATTTTGCTTTAAGGGTAGGGATGGGACATGGGGTGCCATCAGAACATCTTTTGTTCCTCTATCCATAAGCACCACAAAATACAGGGTGGAACCAAAGATCAGATCTGCTTGATGAACTTCCCTACTTTCCAAGAACTCCAACACACAAAAGCCTCTCCCAGTGAGCTTGGCATGGCCCAAGTGAGTACAAAAAGTGAGAAGAACATGTTCCATAGGTCTTTTGCAACAATACAATGAAGAAGCAGGTGATATATAGATTCTGAGTTTCATAAACACATATAGCATCTATTGACTATTTGGAATTTCTTCCTCAATTCCATATGGTTCTTAGAGGAATGTTATGGTAAAACTTCGTTTGAAACGATGTGGTAGAAAGCAACGTGCGACTTGAAGGACACGATGAGGTTATCCTGAGTCAAGCAAGGATCTTTCAGAGTAATCCAACTGAAAGAAAATAAATTTAGGTGACAACTTAGTTCTCCTGATTAATTTCTATGTCATTGGTCAATTAAGGTCTTCTTGGAGCTTTATTGTAGGTAGCCTACTTTAGCTGAATAGAACTCATCCATGCTATTTCTCCAGATAAGTCTGATAAGTCTGACCCTGCCTTGATTGTTGACTGCACTAGTCTGAATGGTGGCCATGAGACTAAATAACTCTTCTAACTCCCAGTCATTAAGATTTCTCCTTAGGTCAGATTCTGCACATTGTCTTCCCTGTACTGTGAGATGGTTGAGTCTGGATTAGATGCAATCTGGAAGATGCTTGGAAAAGCATTCATTAAATGAATGTTTCCAAGCCAAATATCTTTCCAAAATTGAATATGTTCCCCATTTCCATCTTAAGTGAAGCATCACTGAAGAAGGTTCCCCACTGTTCCTTGTATCTCTCCAAATCCCTGCGCCATAAGAGGTACTGACTTGATTAGAGCAACAGTGACTATCACTGCCATACTTTGCTTGAATCAATTCCTTCCATAAGCCAACTGCCTCTTGATTGTATCTGTAGTACCACTTAAATAGCATACACTTGTTATGTAAAGCCAAGTCTTTGATCCTCAATCCTCCATATTGTTTTGGCGAAGTGACTTTGGCCCATTTAACAAGGTGAAGTAGGAAGGATCAGAAGTTCAATCACCACTCTCTACGAGTAAGGGCCTGTGGTCAAAGAGAGCCCTTGGTAAAGCCACCTGCTTCACAATTCCAAAGAATTCATTCCATTCAGGGGAAATTAAGAATCTATCAATTTTGGAAGCCTGCAGAAAGTCCTCTCCCCTAGTCCATGCATAAGTTGCACCATGTAAGGGGAGATCAATAAGACCCATGTCTTGAATAAATTCGGAGAAGTCTTTCATGGACTTTGATCTCCTGATACAATTGTACCTCTCAAGTTCAAATCTACATACATTAAAGTCACGACCTATGACCCAACACTCATCCCATAGGTCTAGCCTTTCCAGACTTGCGTGAGGCCCATACACCCCAGAGAAGCAGAATCTGAAATCCACCTGCAAGCCCTCCCATATAGCTGAAAGTGTATGCTGCCCCTGGTAAGAGTTTAAGCATTTCCATTGTCTTTTGTCCAACAAAATAATAATGCCACCCGTGGTACCACTTGCTTTCAGTTCAACCCATTCGACCCATCTTGATCCCCAAATATGCCTTGCTATTGCCACAGAACAACACTCTGCTTACGTTTCCTGTAAACACAAAATATCAGGCTTCCATTTTTGAATAAGTAGCTTGATGGTGCTTCTATTGCTTATATCATTAAGCCCTCTTATATTCCAGTTTATAATTTTTGCTTTCATTCAGAGAAAGCCTTGTGGAACCTGCCCTTGTCCATTCTCATAATTAATTGTGCTGCAGCTTCTTGGCCGCAACTTCACCCTTTTCCTTTGATCCTTTCTTCTGTTTCCCTTTCCCCTTTGATTGCTTCAACTTCAGCTTCCTCTTTTGTTCCATTCGCAGTTTCATGTCGAAGATTTCGTGCTCATACCCCACTGAATTGACCCCAAAGGTTTTATAAGCTTTAGTCATCATTATCTTGGTCCAATGAGAGGTTTCAATAACTGCCGGGAGTGAAATAACCTGTTTCTCTTCCAAACTGTCACCGTACCAGGGTAGTGACAAAGTGTCGCTACTAATTGGGGAATAGAAACCTGAATCTTGAGAACACCCAATAGAGAAATCGAAGAGGAAAGGGGGAAGAGAGAGTAGAGACAGAGGTCGCGTGCATTTGGCTTCATCATCTGTGTCTCCCTCGCGCTCGTCTAGAGAATCTTCTTGTGTTTGGGAAGCCAATAATGGCTTCTGAGACAACTTAGCATTGGGGTCTCCTTCAGAAAGCTTTTGCATCTCTGCAGGCTGGCCCAATAGCCTTCCACTCCTTTAATATCTCCTTTTTTATTGAGATGCAAGTTCCCCTCCTTGAGTATATATAACAAAACAATGCTGCAAAATTGGACGTGAAAGTTTCTTGCCGCCACTCTGATTTTGGGTATTAGAAAAGTGAGTTCTTATTTTTGTCCATATTTTTATGGGTTAAAAATAGACTGAAACTCATATTTACCCAACTAAATTATAAGTGATCAAACTCATTAATGAGGGTTAATGGGCTGATTTTTATAAATATGGGCTGAAAATTGAAATTGCCGTTTCTAGGCTGGACAAACACCTTTTCTTGCTCGAAATCGCTCCTTGCTTCCACAAAGTTTTGAAAGTGAAAAAATTGTCTTTCAGTTTAGTCTTTTTGTCTACAGAATCCAAAAATATAAAAAGAGGAGAAAATCAGGAACATCTGAACTCTTTTGAATTTACTGATATGGTGTCTGAAATATTGAGGTGTTTGAACTACAACTATGTTAAGAATATCTACTTCCATTTTTGAGTCCTGTAACTTACTAGCTATTTCTTATGCATATCTATAGTACTTCTCTTAAATAGTGTATTCTGTATAATTCTCATGTGATCGTTTTTTTCCTCTCTTTTGATGAAGTGACGAGAATATTATGAATAATCATCTAACAGAAAGTGTAAACATCCTTTATTTGCTCAAATATTTAGATCTCGTAACTTCTCATTAGTGTTTTGGCATTAGATCTCATGACTAGTCCTGTTGTTAGTAAGATTATTAGAACCTAGACATTTGCACGGTTATGGTTGACTCAAAGCTGAATATCTTAAAGAAACGGTTTTCAACTACACACTGCCACTTTGGCTTCTTTAGTCATTCCATCTCCACTTAGGACTCGGGAACTTCCATTTTCTTTTTAGCACTGCAACTTTGTATTATGCAGATTGATTTCCTGCATTTCTTTCGCTTTTACCTTTGTAGTCTAGCAATATAAAATGTTCATTTCTTTGCAGGATGCTGGGATAGGGACGAGTATAGACTCTTTCTATGAATATCTCCTAAAGGTAAATACTCAACTGTACGGAATTATTACTTTCTATGTGACACAAAATAAGTAAAAGAATAGGGGGTCGTTCGGTTGTTGGTTAGAGTTATGTTGGTATTAGCAAAGGAAGGTTTAGTTATGCAAGTATTAGTAATGTTGGGATTAGTTATGCATAGTTTAGTTATGCAGGATTTAGTTATTCCATGTTCTACCCTGCATAAAAGAATATGTAGATTCTCTCACAACTTATATAGGCATTAGTTGCCGGAAAAAAGAGACATGAACCAAACGTTGCATTAGCAATGTTATGTTTTATGTGGAAAGAGAAAAGACCAACAATACATGGTATAACTTATGCTAGATTCTATGTGGAGATTATTTTTCCCAATTTTTGTAACCAAACAACGTATAGAGTTATGCAGGTTTTAATACATGAATAACTCCTCTCTAATCCGCAGCCTAGCGACCCCTAAATTTGCACTTATGCATAGTTTCTTTGTTGTAAATCATTAACGCTCATTTCTTATTGGCAACTAGCGCAAAGTAATGATCGTAATAACTTTTCTGCTGTTGATATTGCTTCTAGATATGTTTAGTCTGGACTTAGTTATAGAGTAGAATGGGTACACATGATTCGTGTAATTGGCTTAACTAGTTTGGGGTTGAGACCTAGATGATTGATAGATTAATTTTGGACTCCGTTAGTTGTTGGATTGCCTCATAAGAATTATTATCTCATTTTTTGATGAAGTAAATGTTCCATTGAAGGCATCAAGAAGATGCAAATTAGTTACAAAAGTAGAAGCAAAATCAGTTGGTCTGCTGGCTCTAGTACAATTATGCTAAAACTAAGGAGCCAGCAAAATTCAAAAAACTATCCAGAGAATCTACAGAGGACAAATTGACTCAACTGTACAGACACATAAGGCCTTCCACTTTGAGAGAATGTAAAGGAGTTGATAGACCTTCAAACATCTTCTATTCTTTTCCCTCCAAATACTCCAAAAAATCGCTGCAGGTATCATCTTCCAAGTCTCTTTGATGGTGCTGTCAACTTTCCAGCAATACCAACTCTCATAAGCTTCTTTGATACTATGTGGCATGACCCAACTGAGTCCAAAAAGAGAGTAAAACATGTTCCACAGATTTGCTGTTACAGTACAATGCAAAAAAAAGTGTCTATTGCTCTCTGCTGCTTTCTGACATAAGTAGCATCCATTCACAATGACGTGTTTCCTTTTATAGAGGTTGTCTTGAGTTAGGCATGCTTCATATAGTGCAGTCCAGCAAAAACAGATGATCTTGGGCGGTAGCTTGATTTTCCAAATTAGCTTCCATGGCCAGTGGTCAGTGACTGCATTAAGTGCTCTTGACTGCTTGTAGGCTGCACTCACTGTGTAATTCCCTGCTCCTGTAGTGCCCCATTTGAACTGATCTGTTGCCTGAGTGTTGAGAGAGAAACTCTGTAGAGTCTGTAGTAGTTTGATCAGCTCATTAAACTCCCAATCCTGCATATTTCTTCTAAACATAATGCTCCAGGTTGTTCCATCTCTATTTTGAGAAATTGTTGAGTCTGGATCCCTGGCTAAGTAGAAAAGACCTGGATAATCGTCCATCAGAACTGTGTTGCAGAGCCATTTATCTTTCCAAAATCTGATATGGAGTCCATTACCCACTGTGAAGTGCTTATGCTGAGAAAATTCCTCCCATAGCTTGCCTATGTGTTTCCAGACTCCGACCCCATAAGGTGCTCTTGAAAGACTAGTGCACCAATGACTCTGTATCCCATGCTTTGCACTGACCACATCCTTTTATAGAGCGGTTGTGAGACCAACAATGTTATGGGAGTGAATGCTTTAAGAAGTGCTGTCATATAATATTGGACTACATTTGATATTGTGAGAAGAGAAGAGTTTGAGAGAGAACTCAGCTTGATTATTCCCACAAGCTATTGGGGTTTAAATAGCTAAGTATACATGTCCTAAAAAGGAAAGGAAATCAATACCTAATCAATATCATATCAAGTGCATACTTCCTTTGTGAAATGACAATTCCTGATTTGGATTGAGCAACCTCAATGCCCAAGAAGTACCTCAATCGACCAAGATCCTTAGTCTGAAAGTGCTGGAAAATGTGATGTTTCAATTTGGTAATTCCCTCATCATCATTGCCTGTGATAACTATGTCATCAACATACACTACCAAATACATGCACAAACCTAGAGCAGAGTGACAGTAGAACATAGAATGATCAGCTTCACTTCGTACCATGCCAAACTCCTGAATAACCATGCTAAACTTCCCAAACCATGCTCGAGGAGACTGCTTCAGGTCATAAAATGCTCGACGTAGTCTGCACACCATGTTACTAGACTCCCCCTGAGCAACAAAACCAGGTGGTTGCTCCATATATACCTCATCTTCTGGATCTCCATGAAGAAAAACATTTTTAATATCCAACTGGTAGAGAGGCCAATGACGAACCACAGCCATGGATAAAAAGAGACGGACTGAAATATGTTTTGTTGTTTATTTGGTCTTTCCTGGGGCATGCCTTTCTCTGTTAGGGATGTTCTTGAAAGTTAAAGTTCACGGGATGTTGACAAAGCCATCAAGAGTATGTCGATGATGATCCCTGGTGCTATCTTTTGGTGTTTATGGACAGAGAGGAACAAAAGATGTTTTGATGGAATTTCAACTTCTAGAGATCTTTTGTGAGGCAAATGTCTAGTTAGCCTTTTTGGTTGGTCCAAACTGACCCCTGTAAATAATTTAGAACTCTTCTTGGATTTTGTTAGCTCTATAGCTTAGAAAGAGGCTACAAATCCTTTTTTGTGAGATTAACTGATCTATCCTTGTAAAGCTTGCATCTTCTTAATGCCTTTGAAATGAATCTACTTACTTCATAAAAAAAAAAAAAAGACGGACTGAAGCAATCTTGGCCACTGGAGAGAAAGTATCACCATAGTCAAGACCAAAAATTTGTGTATAACCCTTGGCCACTAGTCGAGCTTTTAGGCAATCAATCTGTCCATCAGGCCCAACCTTCACTGTATATACCCACCGACAACCAACTGTAGATTTATCTGGAGGTAGAGGAACAAGCTCCTATGTACCACTAGAGTGTAAGACAAACATCTCTTCGATCATAGCTTGTTGCCAGCCTGGATGAGAAAGAGTTTCACTTGTAGTCTTAGGAATAGACACACATGATAGTGATGATACTAAGGCAGAATGGACCAGTGACAAACGATGATAGCTCAAACAAGTATAGATAGGATGAGGGTTACGAGTAGAGCGATTACCTTTTCGAGTGGCAATGGAAGGACTCTGTGTAGACAAGTCCTCAGCAGGCAAGGATTCCGGCGGAGGACGTGAATCATCTGGGCGTGGACAACAATGATAGGTTAATAGTGGTGGAGGTGCAGAGGAGGTAGATGGAGTCATAGGAGATGATGTGGAAGGATAAACTATGGCGGGATCCCCAAAAGATGGAACGGGTAGGACCTCAGAAATGTCTAATTGCTCAGTAGAAGAGGATGTAAAGTAGGTCTGACTTTAAAAAAAAAAAGTAACATCAGTTGACATAAGGTATCGCTGAAGGTCTGGTGAGAAGCATCGATATTCCTTTTGTACCCTTGAATAACCGTGAAATACACATTTAAGAGCACGAGGAGAGAATTTGTCTTTTCCTGGAGTGAGTATATGGACAAAGCATGTGCTCCCAAAGACGCGTGGTAGAAGAGAGAATAAGGTTGACGTGGGAAACAAAACAAAGTGAGGTACCTGTTTATGAATAGCAGAGGAGGGTATACGGTTAATCAGATAACAAGAGGTGAGCAATGTGTCCCCCCAAAATGGCAGTGGAACATTTGCTTGTATGAGAAGAGTGCGTGCAGTCTCAACAATATGCCTATTTTTTCTCTCTGCAATCCCATTTTGTTGTGCAGTGTAAGGACAAAATGTGTGATGAAGAATTCCATGGGAAGACATAAATTGTTTAAATTGAGATGATAAATATTCACGTGCATTATCACTACGAAAAATGCAAATAGAAACACCAAACTGGTTTTTTTTATTTCAGCACAAAAAGTTTGAAATATGGAAAATAATTCAGAACGATCTTTCATTAAGAACATCCAAGTGCACCTTGAGTAATCATCAATGAAAGTAACAAAATACTTAAAACCCAATGTAGAACTGACTCTACTAGGACCCCAAATATCAGAATGAACTAAATGAAAAAAGAGACTCTGCACAATTATTAGGACTACGCAGAGTCTCTTTTTCATTTAGTTCATTCTGATATTTGGGGTCCTAGTAGAGTCAGTTCTACATTGGGTTTTAAGTATTTTGTTACTTCCATTGATGATTACTCAAGGTGCAGTTGGATGTTCTTAATGAAAGATCGTTCTGAATTATTTTCCATATTTCAAACTTTCTGTGCTGAAATAAAAAACATGTTTGGTGTTTATATTCACATTTTTCGTAGTGATAATGCATGTGAATATTTATCATCTCAATTTAAACAATTTATGTCTTCCCATGGAATTCTTCATCACACATCTTGTCCTTACACTGCACAACAAAATGGGATTGCAGAGAGAAAAAATAGGCATATTGTTGAGATTGCACACTCTTCTCATACAAGCAAATGTTCCATTGCCATTTTGGGGGGACGTAGTGCTCACTTCTTGTTATCTGATTAACCGAATGCCTTCCTCTGCTATTCATAATCAGGTACCTCACTCTGTTTTGTTTCCCAAGCCAACCTTATTCTCTCTTCCACCACGCGTCTTTGGGAGCACATGCTTTGTCCATATACTCACTCCAGGAAAAGACAAATTCGCTCTTCGTGCTCTTAAATGTGTCTTTCTCGGTTATTCAAGGGTACAAAAGGAATATCGATCCTTCTCACCTGACCTTCAGCGATACCTTACGTTACTGTTTTTGAAGGTCAGACCTACTTTACATCCTTTTCTACTGAACAATTAGACATTTCTGAGGTCCTACCAGTTCCATCTTTTGGGGATCCCGCCATAGTTTATCCTTCCACATCATCTCCTATGACTCCATCTACCTCCTCCACCACTATTAACCTATCATCGTCGTCCGCGCCCAGATGATTCACGCCCTCCGCCAGAATCCTTGCATGCTGAGGACTTGTCTACACGGAGTCCTTCCATTGCCACTCGAAAAGGTAAATCCTATCTATACTTGTTTGAGCTGTCATCTGCCTTTGTATCATTTGTGTCTATTCCTAAGACTACAGGCGAAGCTCTTTCTCATCCAAGCTATGATCGAAGAGATGTCTGCCTTACACTCTAGTGGTACTTGGAGCTTGTTCCTCTACCTCCAGATAAATCTACAGTTGGTTGTCGGTGGGTATATACAGTAAAGGTTGGGCCTGATAGACAGATTGATCGCCTAAAAGCTCAACTAGTGGCCAAGGGTTATACACAGATTTTTGGTCTTGACTATGGTAATACTTTCTCTCCAGTGGCCAAGATTGCTTCAGTCCATCTCTTTTTATCCATGGCTGCGGTTCGTCATTGGCCTCTCAACCAGTTGGATATTAAAAATGCCTTTCTTCCTGGAGATGTCGAAGATGAGGTATATATGGAGCAACCACCTGGTTTTGTTGCTCAGGGAGAGTCTAGTAACATGGTGTGCAGACTACGATGAACATTCTATGGCCTGAAGCAGTCTCCTTGAGCATGGTTTGGGAAGTTTAGCATGGTTATTGAGGAGTTTGGCATGGTACGAAGTGAAGCTGATCATTCTGTGTTCTATTGTCACTCTGCTCCAGGTTTATGCATGTATTTGGTAGTGTATGTTGATGACATAGTTATCACAGGCAATGATGATGAGGGAATTACCAAATTGAAACATCACCTTTTCCGCACTTTCAAACTAAGGATCTTGGTCGATTGAGGTACTTCTTGGGCATTGAGGTTGCTCAATCCAAATCAGGAATTGCCATTTCACAAAGGAAGTATGCACTTTATATTCTTGAAGAGACAGGGATGATAGATTGTAGGCCTATTGATTCTCCAATGGATTCAAATGTTAAGCTCCTACTAGGTCAGGGGGAACCTCTTAACGATCCAGGAAGATATAGAAGGCTCGTAGGAAAGTTGAATTATCGCAAAGTGACTCGACCTGATACTACTTCTCGGTAAGTGTCGTAAGTCAGCTCTTGAATTCTCCTTGTGATAGTCATTGGAATGCAGTTATTTGCATTCTTCGATACATAAAATCTGCTCCAGGGAAAGGACTTCTTTACGAAGACCGAGGACATGAGAAAATTGTTGGATATTCAGATGCAGATTGGGCTGGGTCACCCTCTGACAGACGATCCACTTCTGGATATTGGGGGAAATTTGGTGTCTTGGAAAAGTAAGAAACAAAATGTGGTTGCTAGATCTAGTGCAGAAGTAGAGTATCGGGCTATGGCAGTGGCAACATGTGAACTCATATGGATCAAGCAACTACTGAAGGAGTTGAAATTTGGAGATACTAAAGGAATGGAACTTGTGTGCGATAATCAAGTTGCACTTCACATTGCATCGAATCCAGTATTTCACGAGAGGACCAAACACATAGAGATTGATTGTCATTTTGTTAGAGAAAAAGTACTTTTAGGAGACATAGTCACAAGGTTCGTGCGGTCAAGCTCAAGTGATCAGTTTGCAGACATATTCACCAAGTCCCTAGCTGGTCCCAAAACAAGTTATATATGTAACAAGCTTGGTACATATAATTTTTATGCACCAGCTTGAGGGGGAATGTTAGAATCCTAGGAATATTCTATAGCATATGTAAATATAGTAGGTCGCTTGATTTCCTCCTAGATTTACTCTAGCTTGAGTTGTAGTGATTAGGTATTGATTTCCTTTCCCTTTTAGGACATGTATACTTAGCGATTTTAAACCCCAATAGCTTGTGGGAATAATCATGCTGAGTTCTCTTCTCACAATTACATTTAATCAGCTAACCCCAAATGGGCTCTTAGTTACTAGTCCATATCTTATCTGTATTTACCGTTTAGGTTGAACTCAATGATAGTGCTCATTCTTTGGACCTAGTTTCATCTCTTATTGAAAAAAATCTGAAGGTGGAAAACAATGAGCAAGTTTAGATTATTAGTTTCAAAAAAATGAATAATTACAGATTATGTTGGCAGAAAACTAGAGTTGCATGTATTTTACTATTGGGCAGATGGGAAGCGGTATTAAGAAAGGACCTCCTTGCACTTTCCTGGGAGGTGGAGGGGGATGGTGGAGAGGAAAGGAGATGATGTTGATAGGATGGTTATTTTCTGACATCTACCTCTAGGAAATTCGGCGATGACATGGTTGATGAGATCAGATAATATTGTTACTATCATCTTTAGATTCTTACGGAGTACCTTTGTTTCAAAAACTTTTTTGTTGGCATTATTCTTGGCTTATAATTAACAACGGGAAGTTCTGCTTTGATTGAAATGGGCAAGTAGTTTAATTGCTTCTTTTCTTTTAACACGCTGTCTGAAGTCCTATATATATGATTTATATGTATATTCTGGTTTTCTTTATCCTAACCTACTCATTCACATTTTTAATTCAGGCTTATTTGCTGTTTGGTGATGAAGAATATCTTTTCATCTTCCAGGAAGCTTACAAGGCTGCTATGAAGTATCTCTTTAATGATCCTTGGCAAGTAATCTTCCTTTTAAGGCTTGAATTCACTACAGAGAAAACCCTGTGTCTATATTGCATTACTGCTGAAATTCAAGACAACTAATATAGTTATTTTTTAGGAAGTATATCGATTCACAACTTGTCTAGATTCGTTTAGTTTTAGTATGAATACGTCTTGTAGCATATTTCATAGGATAGTTTAGAACAGTCTCTACTTAATTGTAAAATAACAATTACTTCCATTATTTTACACAGAAATGGAGAATTACAACCCACTTTACTGAACATAGACTAAGGCATAGGAAGCCTCCTTGTTTAGTCAATAACCAATTCAAGACAATTTTTTCCTTGTACCCTCTCATTTTACAAGTTGGTATTCTACAATTTAGAGTCTTGTCTCACCCTGCACCAAGGTTTAATTTTCTGTTCTTCTCAAGAACTAAAAGTTCTAAGCAAATATTTTTTTCAATATGTAGGTATGTAGAGGTAAATATGAATTCTGCTGCCCTTGTCTGGCCTTTATTTAACAGCTTACAGGCATTCTGGCCAGGTCTTCAGGTGATTTGCTTATGCAGATATTTCACACCTAAGCAAACAATTTCTTTTAATAGTTAGCAAACCAACTTTTTTCCTTCAATATTAATTCTAGACAGAACTAACTTTTGTGTCCTGTATTTGTTGAAAGGTTCTGGCAGGGGATATCGAGCCTGCCATTAGAACACATGCTGCCTTCTTCACCGTCTGGAGAAGATATGGGTTTACCCCAGAGGGTTTCAATCTAGCTACGCTCAGTGTTCAAGTACTATTTTGCTGTTGTCTAAATTCTTTTGATACCTGAAGTTTGTTTATGTGCTAGTTCTTTGATCGATGCCCTACTGTATGTAAACTGACAGATTTAGGCAGTGCCTTTTAGAATGAAATTATAATGGTTTGACCTTATATGCACTTTGTTAGAATATGAATAGGTTTATACTATCCTATTAGAATAGGAATAGGTTTATACAATCCTATAAGAATAGGAATAGATTTATACAATCCTATTAGAATAGGAATAGGAATACTAAATAGTATCCTGCTTGGTAAAGGATTGTATTCTAGGGTCTATAAATAGGGTCTCAATGTAATAATGTAGACATAACAACAATTCAATAATTTTCTTTTCCTATATTTCTCACATGGTATCAGAGCCTCTACAAACTTGGTAGAGAATTAAAGATCTTCCGCTGCCGGCGGGTGGCACCCATATATGCTGCCCGTCTGGCCAATGATTATGTTAGCAAAAGTTGGGTCACCGTGTATCTATCTGGTGACTATTTTCTCACATCTAATTTGTGTAGCACCATGCCATCATTCCGGTGACTACTTTCTTATATCTAATTTGTGTAGCACCGTGCCATCATTCCGGTGACTACTTTTTCATATTTAATTTTTGTAGCACCGTGCCATCATTCTGGTGTCTACTTTTTTTTGTGTAGCACTGTGCCATCATTCCAGTGACTACTTTTTCATATATAATTTGTGTAGCACCGTGACATCCTTCAGGTGACTACCTTTTTTTTGCATATCTGATTTGCGTAGCACCGTGCATCTCTCCGGACTACTTTTCATATTTAATTTGTGTAGTACCGTGGATTTTTCCGAACTATTTTCTCATATCTGAGTTGCATAGCATCATGTGTCTTTTCAGTGACTTCTCAGATTTGATTTGCATAGATCCATTTGTCTTTCCGGTGACTCCTCAAATCTGATTTGCGTAGGGTTGTGCCATCATTCCAACCCTACCCATATTATTTCTCTTTTTCAATAGGGTTGTTCCATCAATTCGAACTATCCTATATTATTTCTATTTTCTAGTTGGGTTGTGACATCATTCTGACCCTACCCATATAATTTTATTTCTTAGATTGTGACTACTTTTAGCCATCAAATCTAATACTCCGGCATATGAGCATGTTCTGGCCAGTTTTTTCGGTGACTTGTTTAATATCGACTGTCTATTGATTCCAACATGAACCATGTACTTTATACTAGATTTTGAGCACTTGCAATGTTCGCTGCATTGTGAAGAAGTCTATTTGGAGCAACCACCTAATGTTGTTGCTCAGGGGGAGTTTAGTAGCCTTGTATGTTGATGACGTAAGTCACTCTATGGTCTGAAACAGTCTTTGCAAGCTTGGTTTGGGAAGTTCCATTATGCATCAAATTCAGTATTTCATGAGAAGATCAAGCACATTGAAATTTATTGTCAATTTTGTGAAGTCGAGTGATCAACTTGCAGATATCTCACCAAGCCCCTCATCGGTCCTCGTGTTAATTACATTTGTAACAAGCTAGGTACATGAATTGTATGCACTAGCTTGAGGGGGAGTGTTAGAATATGAATAGGTTTATACTATCCTATTAGAATAGGAATAGGTTTATACAATTCTATAAGAATAGGAATAGATTTATACAATCCTATTAGAATAGGAATAGGAATACTAAATAGTATCCTGCTTGGTAAAGGATTGTATTCTAGGGTCTATATATAGGGTCTCAATGTAATAATGTAGACATAACAACAATTCAATAATTTTCTTTTCCTATATTTCTCACACACTTAAAAGAAAACCTTCCTTTGTATGGTTCGGTTGCCCAACTTAGCTAGCATTGCAGGGAAACATACGTTAAAAGGTTTTATTTGCCCAACTTTATCAAGATGCCTTTGATCATTCTCAAAAATAGAAAAAAAAAACTTTATCGAGATGCCTTTGTTTCATGCATCAAAAAGTTTGTTTGCCCAACTTTATCGAGATGTCTTTGTTGCCTTTGTCTCATACAATGTTTTTTCCATTGGACCATTCTGTAGGACACTTTATCGTTATTTTAGCAAGTAATTTTCAGATAAAGTTAGCCATGTTTAAGATTGGAAATGGTTGGATCGTTTTAGGGATAGATCATTTCGCATTGCTGTGAAATATAAGCAGTCAGGCTAACAGTCTTTTTTCCATTTCCTTGATCTCTCTTTTCATTGAGCTTGTTCCTTCTGTTGTTGCTCCTTGTGCCGACTGAGCACCTGATTTTTGTTGCAAGGTCTTTTTTGGAGTGGTTTATTTTCTGTATTAGTACTATCTTACTTAAATTTCATATTGTTGTTTGCTTACATTGTAGCAAGGCCAGAAAAGCTATCCTCTGCGTCCAGAATTGATTGAGAGCACCTATTGGCTGTACAAAGCTACCAGAGATCCTAGGTCTGCTTGTTTGCTCTTGAATTGTTTTTCTTATGCCTACCTTTTTCTTTAGCTAATTGAACTCATAATAATTCATTGGCTGATTTGCACTGCCTTTTTCATAGATTATATCATGTGAAGGCAAAAATTTTTGGCATGTGCAATTGGATATCCGAGTTACCTTTCTTGCATGAGATTAACATCTGTTAGTCCATAGAAGCATGCTCATCACCTATTATTTGTTTATTTTATTCCAGAAAAACCCAGACAAAGATTCCGTATAAATAAGTATTCCTAATTTCCTATAAGCAGCCCTTGTAGAGTTACAGATCTGTGATCTTTGATTTCACCAAAGTATTTGTGACAATTTGTTATAGCCTACATGTTCAATCTGAATGTGTATGGAAGTAACCTCACAAATTAAGATTTTACTACTTATCTGAGGCACCAAAGATGTCCAAATAGATACATAGCAAAAACTCAAGCTCCCACAAAAGGAGGGGGAGTTGGGTCAATCAAGTAAAGTGTCTATGCCGTATACATCCAGCATGAAGCCAAAAGAGTTCAAACATCTATATTTCAATCTATGGTTCTGCTTTATCTTCAAAGCATCTCTGGTCTCTAATTTTATTTTTCTGTCGGAAGGACCAAATATGCTGGCTGGTGTCTGTTATCTTTGATTTTGCCAAAGTAGTTGTGACAATTTGTTATAGCCTGCATCTTGAGTCTGGATGTGTATGAAGTAACTTTACAAATTAGGATTTGTTTTTACTTATCCGAGGCACCCAAGAGATCCAAATAGATACACAGTACAAACTCAAGGTCCCACAAAAGGAAAGGAGTCAGGGAAGTCAAGTTAAGTGTCTATGTTGTATACATCCAGCATAACAACAGCATATCCAGTGTAATCCCACAAGTGGGGTTTGGGGAGGATGGTGTGTATGCAGCCTTCCGCCTACCTTGTGAAGGTAGATAGGTTATTTCTGATAGACCCTCGGCTCACGTATATATCCAGCATGCTACACGAAAAAGCCAAAAGAGCTCAAACATCTATATTTCAATCAATGGTTCTGCTTTATCTTTGAAGCATTGCTGATCTCTGATTTCCTGTCTGTCCGAAGGACCAAAAGTGTAGGCATCAATATTGTCATTCAAATCCTTTTATCTTCCTTTCACCTTCCTTCCTAAGGACTGAAAGGCCAGGCTGATGTAGTCATTCAAAGCCTTTTATCTTCCTTTCACCTTTCTTTCTGTCCAGCCTATCATGGCCTCCTTAATGGTTCTTGGGATAACCCAGCATACCCCAAAACAGTATCAAACCATACTCTACTGCTGCTAGGCTATCTGGCAATGTTACACATGAAGAATTCACTACAGATGGCTATGCCCCTTTTGTGGAGATTTGAGTGAGTTAAGCAGGCTTCAGGTGTTGCAATACAACAAAAACTGGCACTTTGGAGGGACCCTGGTCTTCCAAATGATCTTCGTGTGACCATTATCTTTTGCCGTTTACTGATGAAGTTAATCTACTATAGCCTGACTTAACAGAATACACTCCACTATTATTGCCCTTCCATATCAGCTTGTCTGGTTCCAGATAGATTCCGTCTCCTTCCAGCTTTATTGGCAGCTGAAACATCTCTTCTATATCCAGCCTACAAAATGCCTTCTGAATGACAATTCCATTCATTTTGAGACCAGCGAAGTACGACTCTGTTCTCTCTTCTCCATGCAAAACTACATAAATCAAAAACTCATCCTTCAAGGTATGTTATCCATTTAAAGTATCATGCCAGAATTTCAACTTTTTCACGTTGCCAATAGAGAAGCTAATGTGTGGTAAATTGCTCCCTTAACTTTCTGATATTCTTCTCAACTTCCCCTCATGTTTTTATCACAGGCTTTGTACACCAGAACCTTCTACACTAATATCAAGCGTTGATTACTTGTTGAATCTTCTGATTCCAAGTTATATCATCCATTTAAGCAGCAGGCTGTTGTTATTAGACCAAGTTTCTTATTACCCAGTCCACCCTGCTTGCTGTATCACTTTGCTACACTATAGGGAAGTTGTTTTCTCATTGCCCCCCTCTCACCAAAAGTTTCTCCTTCACTTATCAAGCCTTCTCTCATATGTCAGCAGACTTTTTGGGACAGCATTCATGAGTGTGAGTCCCCCTCCCAGAGTTAGGTATCGTCTCTTTTCAATTGCTAGCTTCTTCTCAAGCCTCTCTAACCATTTCAGATACCCTCATTCTTATTCTTTGCTCCCATATGATATGTCATGAAGCAAGCTTAAGTAACCTCACTGAGTTAGTGGGTATGTCAAGAAGCGGGCTTAAGTTCTCAGGTTTTACATTGTAAATACCAAGTGCAAGTAGCGGCAAAACGTCTGCAACAATGCGTTTGAAGTTATAAAAGAACTATGAACGTTCCTTGTTCCATTAGTATTGTTGAATGTTTCCTAACAGTTGAGTTATTCATGTGAAGCATGTCTTAGCTGTGCTCAATTTATCATTTCCTAAGCAAGGTAAACTTAACTTGTTACCAACTACGTCTCCGCCATACACAATTTAGGGTTGGCTATATGAACTGACCATGTTTCTTCATTTAAATCATCTCAGGCCAACCGTGTACAATATAAAAAAATCATAAATTAATTAAATGTTATGACCATAAATACTTTCACATGCTTGTCAAAATTAATATGCTTCCAGTTCTCCAAAAATAAAAAGGAGATTCCAGAAAGGATGAGAGAACGATCAATGACTATGCACTGTCTGAGTAAGCTGCATGGTCATTAAATACAGCCTGAAACTTCGATCAAGGATTTAAAACTCTCTTTCTTTCTTCATTGGATGCTGTCGCTTCATGGGCAGCAATTTAATCAACACACACAGACTAAGATTTAGAGCCTTAATTTTCTTTTTAAATCATTTGATGTAGGTATCTTGATGCTGGAAGGGAAATTCTTGCTAGCTTGCAATATGGTGCTCGATGCACTTGTGGATATTGTCATATATCTGATGTTGAATTTCACAAACAAGAAGATCACATGGAGAGCTTCTTCTTGGCAGAAACTGTAAGGAACAAGGCTCGGTTTTATTTGACCATGTTCTATCTGTGGTATATCAGTTTATTCTGTGTTTCGTCCAGATGATATGATACGATTATGAGGGACTACCTACATGAAAATATACTATCCTTTGGGTACTCTCTACTCCTGGGTATATGAAGAGATAAAACACTGGAAAAAGTAAAAGTACAGACAAAACAACAACTATTCCTCAGTTTCTACAAGTTAGAGTTGGCTATATGAATCCTCATCGACCATGTTTCCTCATTTATATGAGGATTTATCATGAATTGACTAAGTTTTACGTTGGCTTCCAGCCTACTCCAACCCTCCTCCTTTATCCAGGTTTGGGACCAACAAATGTGAGCAAGGTCACATAGGTGGAGTTAAAAAGTAAAAGTACAAGAAAATAAAATTTTCATTTGTTCTTGAATTATTTCTTAATTTCAATTTTAGTCCTTTCATTAGTGCACAAACGTTTTACTTTGAATTAAAGCTCAAAAAAAAAAAAAAAAAAGAAAGCTCAAAAACAAACGTTTTACTTTGAATTTGTGTGTCAAGCATCTTTGGTCCTTTTGCAGCAGGATTCAGCCAAATTGACGAAAACTAGTAGCCCCTCTAGCTTCTCTGATTCTCCAGGTCTTCTACTGCTTCCTAACCCTATAAATCTTGGCTTACACCCTGCAATTTTGACACCAAAACCTGCAAAACATTGTTGTGAAACCTCGTGAAGCACTTAGGTGGCATTGATGTTTAAAGTAGGGTTGGGTTGGCCATCTTATAGGCGTCTAACTTAGTGACATAATTAAGGCAATTATCATTTCTCTTGTTATTTCTACAGTGATCCTAATTGAAAAGTCATCGAGGGACAGCAAAATCAGGTTGGCGCACAATTAATATGATACCATATCCAGTACTCTTATTCATGGACCTAATACTGTACAACTAATGTCTGTTGTTAGTCATCTAAAGCAGTTTCATTTGACTTCAAATACTAGATTGAGGTGCTTAACTTTTCCTTTTGATTGTAAACATGTTCCACGTCCTAACAAGTAATCCACAATTCTTTCTTTATATAGTTTTCTTATCTAACATAGACTAGCTAAATTGTAATCATGTTTAGACTGAATTTTTTTTTTCTTTCTCGGTTGTGTGCATACACGCTTATCTTCTGTTAACTACTCACTGTTTTGATGTAAAAGGTAATAGATTTCATTCAAAGTATCAAGAAGGTAAAAGAAAGAGTACAAACATGAAAATTTCCTTCTACATGTTGAAGGAATGCAAAAGATTTAACATAGAGTTTATATCCTGTACAATATTCTTCCTACACCATAAGTATAGACTTTTCAAACATCTAGATTTAACATGAAATATGTTTTCCCTGCTATCATTAAAACATCTGTTATTCCTTTCCTATCATTAAACTACTCACTGTTTTGATGAGTAAAGACACGTGCTATGGATGATAGTGAGGCTGATCTTATCATCCTGATCTTAGTACAAGAGAAGTAACTTTCTGGTGTTTATGTCTTATTACTTTTATTTTATCTATGAAAAAAGAAACAAAAGCAATGTGATTATATTTGAGACTGCTCTCTCGTTGTGTCTTCATTGACCTGAACAAATGCATGATTATTATTGACAATCATCTATAATAAATCTATGTTTCTATCTGTCTGTCCATCTATCGATCTAATTGATATTTTACTCTTTTTTTCAGGTTAAATATTTGTGGCTTCTTTTTGATTTAGCTGCTGGTCCAGATAACCTGGTTGAGAATGGACCGTACAAGTAAAACGCCTATAGCATCCTTCATATTTATTATCTAGCATTTCTTTAAAGTTTTTGTGCTTCCCATCCTCCTCTATCCACACAAAGGAAAAAAGAGATATATTTAAGGGAAAAAGAAGAAAACTTACTACTTTCTGTTAGAGATGGCAATGGGGCGGGGCAGGTGAGGGGCGGGTGCTAACAAATATTTTAAAATTTTAAGCGGGGCGGTTGCGGGTTGAAACAAATTGCTGAAAATTCAATTTCGCTGGCATCACATATCTGGGCAACAAAACCCATTTGGACTTCAATCTTTTCAAATATCACTGTTTTGAATTTATTTCAACCAATTTATATTTGGTTTTAATCAACATTCAACAATATTAATTAAAGTGTTTTTATTAACTGAATTTGAATTGTGTACATTAAAGATTTAAATGACCACTAAAAAATTCATATGCTTTTTATTTAAGTAGTATTTTTCATAACATTTATAACAGTTAAATTTGTAAACCCATTTCTCAAAATTAACGTATAAAAGTAATATCACGTGTAAATAACAAAGTAAAAAGAACAAATACTTATGCGGGGCAGGTTTATGTGGGTTTGTGCGGGGCGGAGCGAAATAAAAAAAAATGTCATGCGGTGCGGATTAAAAATTTTGTGGGTTGAGAAAAACCCACCCCGCCCCCACCCCACACCGCCCCATTGCCATCCCTACTTTCTGTTCTATTTCCTCTATTTTTTTTATTCACCATCATCCTTTCCCAACAGAGATGCTTTTACTCATAATATTTGGTGGTTTTTGTTGAACTTTCTTTAAAGGTATATCTTCAGCACAGAAGGCCATTTATTGCCTGCAACTCCTCAAATATCCTTAGTACGTGAGCATTGTTCATACTTCGGAGCATATTGTAGGAACAGCAATTTGAGACTCAAAACTCATTCACCCGAGAGTGCACAAACTAATTCCAGTGGCTCTCAAACACGACATGCAGATTCCAGTTTCTTATCGCGCTCCAGTTATCAAAGTTCCTCACCTGTCTATGGTTTGAAGGTCAGAAATTTTATGGTAAAGGTTTTCATCAACTAATTCCCATTGAAAATTTGGTTCAATCGTTGAGAATTTGCTACACATGAGATTCCCCTTGTTTGATTTTGTTTAGCTAATTAAGCATGACAGTCTGGTGAAAAGTTGGAAGCAAGTCTTAGGTCGTTTTGTGAGATCCAAGTTGCCAGGCACGGTCACTTCCTTGATAGGATACCAAATTTTCTACAGCTTTGTCATCAAGTTGAAAATTTGCTAACTGAAGTTTCTTAATATTGCATCAAATATGTTCATTCTAATACTCCCTCTATCCCATTTTATGTGGCACACTTTCCTTTTTCATCTGTCCGAAAAAGGATACATCTCTTTATATTTAGAAAAAAGATTAGCTTTAAACTTCTCACTTTACTCTTAGTGAGATAATTTATAGCCCACACAATTGTCTATATCTTTATTTAGACCACAAGTTTCGAAAAAAAAATTCTTTCTTATGCGTCATATGATACTTGTATCCTTCTGGGACTGCATCGATTTGGTAATCTTCAAATCATTGTACTTGTTTGCTTCATAATCTGCACTGGAATCTTCTTCCTTGACCTTATTTATTGACTGCCTTCTTTTATTCCTTTCCATCTTTATTGAAGGAAAGATTTGATACATTTAAAGTCCTTCCTTGTTGGCAAAACTTCTTTTAATTCTTCTTGACATACTTCATAATTGAGTAAGTCGACTTTACATACTTGACTTCATATATTTTGAAGGGCTCGAGAGTTTAGTGTTATGTGGCAAAGGTTCTCTTTTGTCTGATTTGTACTTTTGGTGTAAACAGAAAGTACCATTTGTATGGATGCTTAGATTCTTTGGAGGCTTTAGGTTTTAGTTGTGTAATTCTATGGTGAAATATAACACTGACTTGGCATATATCATAGGTAGATACTTGGATATAACAAACGAAAATTAGAATTATTTTTCAGAATAGGTACACATTCATATTCTTGGATGTTACTCTCCAGGGAGAAGATGAAACTAGCAAATTCCTATTAACTGCCAATTTCTCTAGTTATAGGTAGCTCATGTTTTTCCTTTTTATAATTAGCACTATTTTCAGAAATGCAGAATAAATACATTGGTCTACCCCTATACTATGCACTAAATGAAACAAGCTCATAGTAAAAAAAAAAAAAGGGGGGGGAGAGGCACCTTGCTTGCAAATTTCAGGTTGGACTAAATTCCCAATGTTCTTTAGTAGCAGGGAGCTTGGATGTATTTCTCACACCTACCCAAATTACCATGTTAAGGTCCCTAGTTTTGGATCGAATCGCTGGACGATTAACTGGAAAGTCAAGCCCAACACTCAGGTCTAAGCCCTTCTTGCTCCTTGACCTGCCTATGATTGCTGAATTTTGCAATTCATTCAGGGGACTGTGTACCTGGGATCTTGTTTGATAAAGTTGTTAATCTCTATGACTTGATAAACCAACTTGTTTGATTAATAACGTCAACTCTCTAAAATAGAGGTTTACAACAGCAAGAGTCCTAACAAATTAGAAATAGCAAAGGTCCTATAAAACTGAAATATCAAGTCCTAATCCACTCAGGGAAGTTTTATTCGACTAACAAAATAATTCAGAAAATACTAATTATTATCTGTCCTATTAATTCTCGCGTGTGGAATATTGATTCCCAACAAACGCATCAATAACATACCATCTGTAGTGAATGCTTTTTCTTCTGATCTGAAGCTCAAGTTCTCATGGTTCCTTTCTTGCTGGAATTTTAAAATTTGTAAAAAAAGGGCAAGTAATTTTATTGATCTAAATGTGTAAAATCCTTTGGATGTGCCAAAATGAAAGATTTTACAAAATCTATTTTATATGGATACCATGGCTAGTGATGTTCCCGCTTCTTTTGCCCCCCACCCAAACAAACAAAAAAAGAACTAGTGAGATTTCCAATGTACTAGAAGATTCATTTTCACTTCTATGCTGAGGAAGATTTGTTTTTATGACAGGGACTCTGTCCAGGTCTAACCTATGAACAAAGGTTTGGCATATCATTCATGTCTCCGGTGGATTCAAGTAGTGAGGATGAAAATTCAAGCCAAAGGGAGACAACTGAAGTTCAGAGCCATTCAGTTGTGCTGAATTCAAACCCTGATCCCGAAGTTCCCCTATCGGGTCCTCATAATGATCATGACAATGACCCAGCTCATGTGCCCCAAGAAGAAAGCCCCTCTTCTAAACAAAAAAGATGACTGGTGGCAACCTGTAATGGATTTTTGCCTTTTCCAGTTTGCTGTCCATTTAAGGACATCTTAGAGTTGGTCATGATTTGGAAGGGGTTCAAGCTTCAACGTCCTGGAACGGTTCTGCAAGTATATGGCGATATGAGTGATACCCGTTGGGACCAGAAGATGGTACTTGTGGCTAGTGCTCAATCATGATTCTTAAATGGTTATTAGGACTCATACAGTCATATACATCTTATACATAGAGCTGGTATCCTGCAAGAACGTTGGAATCAACAGGTGACTTAAAATATGTCTAGCAAGGTATCATACAGTATACCAAGTTAGCTAACCTATTAACTGTTGCAATGAAGTTGGGGATGACCAATTTTTTGGTGATCAAGATTAGGGACAGAAAAGGAGAGGAATCAATTTGTGTACATTAAAATATTGCGAAAACTAGGCAGCGAATCTGTTCCTTGGTCTGTTATTTTCTCCAGCCAATTTGGTTGTAGTTTACCCAATTTCATGTTGTAATATATCAATCAGTGTCGAATGGACACCAATTTTAGAGTACTCTGGATCACAAGTTTTCTGGTTCTATAGTTCTGCAAATTTAGAATTGTTGAAACTTATAGCTGAGTTTCAGCTCAAAACTAACAGTGACAACCTCTCATTCATATGAATGGATCACAATCCAATTCATTTTCAATTAGTTCAAATCAACCCATTTTCCACCACCACTCAAAGTGTAGGATCATAGAGATATACTCTGAGAGGATCAGAACTTTCATTCTAGATACAAACATATGTTATTGGAAGCCTCCGACTGTTCATTTTTCCGGCAATTTGTCGAACAGAGCATTTTCAAATTTCAAACTACTCACAAGTATGTAAAACCCCTTCCAATATCTTCCACCTGCTTGAAATTTTTACTCACAAACGAATTGAGAAAGCCAACGGAAAGATCTCATTCTGACTTCGTAGAGCCAGCGTTGCACTTACCTCGTCAAAGGATATTGTCTCTCTTTTTTTTCCCTTTTCTTATTCATGAGGCCAACAATTCACCACCACCAACATACCAATGTAGTCTCGTAAAGTGAGGAGGTATGTGGAGGATAGAGTAATAAACAACTACAGATAGTAGCAAAATAATACTATAATCAAACATATAATAACATAAAACGAAGAACAAGAAACAACAGTAATACTACGACTACTAGAATGAACAGCAAGTCAATACACTCCTACTTACCTCCTACCTACGACTCTTCTACCCTAAAATAAAAAAGAAAGCAATTTAGCCAATAATAGGGTCGGGTAAGAATCTGGCCTGTCTATCCCTAAAACCCAAATAAATCAGCCCAGCCCAGCCCATTTGAGAAAAGCCCAGAACATCAAGAAAAGACGTTAGAATTCATATGACCATTTAGCCCCTAATTTGAATTCCTTAGCCATTGGCGCCATGAAATGCAATGAATCAAGCTGTTTCCCATCTTCTCCAAACTTGCAAAACCCTAAACAGGTTAAAATCAGTCCATGCACATTTATTAGTATGTGGATCCATTGCCTCATCAGACCTTGTTCTGAACAAAATCATTCGTCTTTATTCTCGTTTCGGTGCCACAAACTATGCTCGCAAGGTGTTTGATGAAATTCCTGAACGAAACCCTTTTCTTTGGACTTCAATAATTCATGGCTATGTTGAAAATTCTCAGCATACTGAAGCTTTTTCTCTCTTCCGTTATATGCGTAATGGCGATGTTACACCTTTGAATTTTACTATATCATCTATACTTAAGGCGTTAGGACGGCTGAAATGGCCGAGAGATGGTGAGGGGATGTTAGGGCTAATATGGAAATGTGGGTTTGGTTTTGATTTACTTGTGCAAAATTCAGTGATTGACTGTTTCATGAGATGTGGGGAAGTTGATTGTGCCAGACGAGTATTTGATGGGATGGAGGAAAAGGATGTTGTTTCTTGGAATTCAATGGTATCGGGGTATGTGACTAATGATAGACTCGAAATTGCACGAGAGTTGTTTGATAGCATGGATGAGAAAAATGTAGTTTCTTGGACTAGTGTGATATGTGGCTATGTTAGGAAGGGAGATATGGAGGAGGCTAGGAACCTTTTCAACAATATGCCTACTAAGGATATGGCTGCTTGGAATGTGATGATTTCAGGGTATACAGATGTTGGTGATATGCAGACAGCAAATTCTCTGTTTCAGGCAATGCCTGTTCGTGACACTGGAACATGGAATTTGATGTTATCAGGGTATTGTAAGGTGGCCGAGTTAGAAAGAGCAAGGGACTACTTTGAACGAATGCCCTGTAGGAATGTGGTGTCATGGACTATGATGATAGATGGTTATGTTAAGTCTGGGAAATTGCATGAAGCAAGGTGTTTATTTGATGAAATGCCTGAGAAAAATCTTATTACATGGTCAACCATGATTAGTGGTTATGCTAAGAATGGGAAACCTTCTGCTGCTTTGGAATTGTTCAAAAACTTCAAAAAGCAAAGTCTTGAACTGGATGAGACTTTTATTTTGAGTATCATCTCAGCTTGCTCTCAATTAGGGATTGTAGATGCAGTTGAGTCAGTCATGAGTGTTGATGTAGGATCCAGATATTTTTCTGATACACGTGTTGTTAACAGTTTGGTAGACCTCTATGCAAAATGTGGAAATATTGAGAAAGCCTCGCAAGTATTTGAAATGGCAGATAAAAAAGATTTCTATTGTTATAGTACAATGATTGCTGCGTTTGCTAATCATGGCTTGGTTGAAAAAGCATTATATTTATTTGAGGATATGCAAAGAGAGAATATAGAGCCCGATGAAGTAACTTTCCTCGCAGTTTTGAGTGCTTGCAACCATGGAGGACTTATTGATAAAGGGAGGAGGTACTTTAAACACATGACTGAAGAATTCAGAATTCAGCCCACAGAAAAACATTATGCATGCATGGTAGATATCCTTGGTCGTGGTGGGTTCTTTGAAGAGGCCCATGAGATGATATTGAGTATGCATATGGCTCCCACTTCAGCTGTTTGGGGTGCAATGCTTGCAGCTTGCAATGTTCACCGCAATGTCCAGATGGCTGAAGTTGCAGCGTCTGAGTTATTCAAGATTGAGCCTGAGAATTCTGGAAATTACATTCTCCTGTCCAATATTTATGCTGCTGCAGGAAGATGGCGTGATGTAGCTAGAGTAAGGGCACTGATCAGAGAGCATCATGTGAAAAAAAATCGGGGGTCTAGCTGGATTGAGTTGGATTCTGCAGTGCACGAGTTTGTAATGGGAGATGTGTCACATGTGGATGTAGACAGGATATGCTTCATATTGAGTCTACTAAATGAAGATATGAAGCTTTCAGGATATACCAAAGATAAGGATCTGCATCCAATTTCGACGTGGTACCCCTCTTATCTATCTCTTTCAAGTGATACTAAAATGGACGAGGAACTGTTTTGAGTGATCTCTGCCACAACATACCGAGGTACTTCTCCTGGATGTAGAATTTCAACATTAACGTCCTTATCTTAAATGATGAAAATGTTTAGGATTTGTAACCTGGCTCTTAATAAAATATTATTGAAACAGGCTTGTATGTTTGTCAAAAGTTATTTCTAACACCCATAGTCAACCTTGAAAATTTCTTGCTTCTGAAATCTGAGGAATGTTGTATATTTCTTTAGTTTCCTTTGTCGCTGTTATGAGTTGCCTATATCTTTTTGGTGAACTTAAACCTAACTGAGTGAAAGTTAAATAAGATACCTGGAGAAAAAATAAGAATAAGAATTGGTCACCAAGCCAAGGGAAATTTTGTCAACTTTTCTCCATGAGGCTTTGTTGGCACATGGTTTCTGTACAAAAACTAAATTGTTGAAAGAGATGTATGGGAACGACAAACATATTTTGTATTTAAAAAACAAAGAAAAAGATATTAAGTTACTTTACGTGATAAACTTAAAGCTAAAGAAACAGGGAAAACCAAAATTCACTATGTTCTTAGGGAGCTCGGGCCTTGCGATATGATACTTGCTCTGGAAGTTTAGTATGTGAAATGCTTAGTAGGAGGTGTAAGACATTATTTATTTGTCCATTGTAAACACTAAACCACATTAGCCTATTTGGTTGGTGCCATTGTTGATCTCTTTCGTTTGCTAGAAACTCCTTATACCAGAAGTTCCACAAACTTTTCCAAAATAACAATGTGATTTGCACCTGGAAAAAAAACTCCCCACACACATGTAGTTCTTCATTCCGATGGAATGAAAAACAGAATAAAACTATGTTCCCAAAACTAATGGTTTTCATGTCAGTGTTTTGACATTGGGCAATGGAAGAAGAACAGCTGCTAGAATCTTGAAGAGTTTAGTCCAACGGACTTGAAATCAATCACAACTGATCAAGCATTAGTTGATTACATAGGGCACAATCTTTTACATAGACAATTCACAAAAGCTTAAGGTCCTTTTAGAGGATTGCAAAGTGTCTCCTCAAAAGGTTTCTAGAATTATCATATACTTGAATTTTCAGCCATATGAATTCCTTCTAGCCTATATTGGCTGCCCATATTTACATGAAAGAAGTAAGCTAACTTTCAGATTTGGCAATTAAAATTACAAAGAAAATAAGTAGTTGACAGGGTCGGTCATTTCTTATCTCAAGAGGAAAGACTACTTTGTTCGGATAAACATGTGTGCTATAGCCATCTGTTAGACCCAAAGAGCATGATTTTGTCTATTTGAGAAGTATCAGGGTGCTGAAGCATCTCTGTGGCTATTGTCCCCGCCATTGTAGCAAATGTGTCACCCGCCCAAAGCTTTCTTGATGCCTAATACTATATTATACTAGACTTCACCTAGTCCCTAAAGTATTCCTTTATGGTCAATTGGAGTATGATGATGGACTCTTAAAATCAGCTTGAGCTACATATGGATAGTGAATAAAGGAAGTTCATCCTCTTGAAGGTGGGATAATGGAACATGAATAGGTTGTCTTGCTCAACTTTGTAATCCTAGCAGGGTTTTAGAACATAGACAGGCATCTGTCTTTAGGATGCTAAACATAGAACTGATTGCAGATCAAACATATGATGCAACTTAGTAAGTCATTTCATATCTTTCGACATATAACTATAAAGAAGATTGATGTGAATTAGTAAATAGATCTATCTAGTTACCCTTACTAATTATGTTGGTCAAGTGCGAATAATGACTTGACATTTGAAACCAGATGTATTAGGGCATTTAGATAATTAGGGAATGATAAGATCAGAAATATTATAATAAGCAATAATAATGATCAGCTTATCTCCCCTTTTCAGCTAACTTTCTTTTTGCTTATTATAGGTAGCACAAGGCTCCAAGCGAACTTATTTTTTAAGCCTTAAAGTTGTTACAAAATTAAATAATGTAAAGCACAAATAATCTTCTCAAAAAAAAAAAAAAACTTTAATTATTCGATAAATCATGTCTTGTGTCCACCAACTAGCAGCTAACATGATGGTTAAGGATACTTTAATCTCTAAAACCCCAACCCACAAACATAATTATCAAAGGACAAAAAGAATCAATTAAAGGACTAAGCAGCAATGATAAAGTTTGATCAACAAAACTGAAGGCTAATTATACGTACATTGGTATGGGAATCTTTCATTATTTTACCTATCCATGTGTGAATAAGGCAATTTGCAAGAATGGCATGTTCATTAATGGTGTACTTTAAATTAGTGTTTGGTTAATTAATGCATTCGTTGCACCTGCACCTGACTTATTCAGGCCTTTGACCATGTTTATTTATCTCTCACGTCTTAATTACTTCTCATGGAATTGTAATTATGCTAATATCGGTAGCCAATGGTCTGGGGTACTCGAACCCGAGACCTCTGGTCAAGTGTATCCATCACTTATTAAATGCTTTAACCAAATACTACAAAATTTCCCTCTTCTGGTCTTAGCTTCAAATGATTTCTCCACCTCAACTAATTTGCCTAAATAGCTTCAAAAATATTACAGAACAATCCATCATAATACATCTTGAAACAGAGGCAAGATTTCCCCAACTTGTGCTTTCTTTCTGATAGTTAGTTATTACTCTTAGGTTTTAATTTGTTTTTCTAGTTTTTACTTGACATAAAGTTTAAGAAAGTTAAAAAGATTTTTGAATTTTGAACTAAAGATAGGTGAAATGTATCAAAATCAGTGGCGGAGCCACCTTATTGCTAGGGGGTTCGTCTGAACCCCTTCGGCAGAATTATATTATTTATACATGATTAAAATAATTTTTTAAAGTATATATAATAGATGTCGAACTCTTTTCGGCTACTTTGTGTTTATTTCTTCAAATTTTGAACCCCTTTATTGAAAATCCTGGCTCCACCACTGATCAAAATGTTCTCTTGCGAAAAGTTGGAATTAAAGACTTGAGGAAAATACATTTTTTCAAATGAACTAGAAAAGAAAATAAGACAAACAAATTGAACAACGAACTAAAAAGGAAAGTAAAAGATGAAATAGTGATAATCAAGTGAATCTGGTGATGCTTTGATTTGAGACTATACCATAAAAATAGACCTTTGGTAGTTATAGCAACATCAACTACTGTACACTATGCTCCCTAAGCTAGCAAATTCCCCCATTGTCAAATTGTACATGTATGGATCTGAATCTGATGATAATATGTATATTTTTTTCCATACTAAGTAAGTTGTGTTGAATGTGGTGATTTATGGTAAAATGTTAGAAGAAACAAATGAAGTGCATAGAACTTTAGATTATTATTCCATTTGAGAACAACAAAGAGATGTGTTAAAACCCCAAGCCAAATAAAAGAACTTCAAGATAGATAGATTAAGAAGAACAAAGGAAAAAACTCATTTCATTTGAGAATACTGTGTCTATACAATTGCTTCCAGAGCAAATACATTCTTCATATGCTATTATCACACTGCAGGATCTATAAAAACCACCATGGTTTCTAAGCCTGCACAACATATAGGAATAAGAGTTTCATTTTTTACCCCTTCAAAACAAAACTGCTCTTTCTTCTGTTTTGCACTTCCCAATCAGTGTAAAACAAATTTCCAGCTTCTTGCAATTCGACAACCCAAGCTCAAAAAGACCCCCCCCCCCCCTTTTTTCCCTGTTTAAACAGAGAAGAATTCATAATCTTCTTATTCATCTTCTCAAACTCCACATCCTAACCCTCTTGCTTCTGATCCTTTCATTATCCTTAGCCTCTTACATGATGATAAGAACATTCTGAAATACCATAAAAAAGAACCCCAAATTAGAAAAATCCAAAAAAAAAAAAAAACATGGTGATTCCTAAATAATATTAGATTCAAGATTCATAAACTTACTCAAAAGGAACATCTCCAACAAGCATCAAGTCACCATCTTTATCTTCATAAGCAGGAGCAAATTCAGACCCTTTATACCCTTCCCTTTCTGAATATTCACCTATACTCAGCTTGAACATTTTCTCTAATGCCTTTAACAGTTCTGGATAACCCTTGCACAATTTCAGATCAATTTTTCTAAGATAAGGAGCTCCATCCATACTAACTTTCACATACATCCCACACTCAGCTTCTGCTTTCTTTGATGGAAAGCTATTTTTCCTGTTAGATCTCACTGGTGGCCACCCCACAATTTGTGTCCTGCAAATCATTTTATCATTTTCAAAGTTTAGTCCTTTTCTTCATAACCTGATAGAAATTTTTTCCATGATTTTAAAAGGGAAAATATCAAGACTTACTTGGCAACAGGTGGAGTTTTGGAATCAGAAATGGAGTTTGATTCACAATCTTCATCCTCAGGCAAAGCCCTCTTGTTATTCTTAACATTAAAGACAATTTCTTTGTCAGATTCTTCATCTGTCCTCCCTGGTAAACCCAATCTAAGCTCTGTTGCCTTGAGATTCAAATCTTTCTCATGAGCCAAAACACACTCCATCTTTCTTTTTTCACAAATTTGATTCAGAAAAAGATTACAATTCAAGTTTCCTTCTCCAACACTTATGTTTTTCTTCTTCAAGATTGATTTGAAGATGCTTAATGGTGGCTTGTTGTATTATATAAGGAGAAAGTGAAATAAGAGAATTGTATATAGAGGGGGCCACGGGCCGGTACGCAAGATAAGATGAGATATTCAAACATTTAATTTGCCTACTTAATCAAATACTTTAGTCTGTAATATCAATACTATCAAATATTTTCTCTGTTCTTAATTACTTATTCACTTTTGAATTGACACACTTATTAAGAAAATAATTATTGACATAGTGAGTTTATTATTTTACTCCTATTAATTATGAAGTGTATGAATTAAAAAGTTAAGGTTTTCAAAAAGTTCTACCATTTTCAAAGTAATTAATTGAAGGTATAATTGAGAAAAAAAAATTATCGTTTCTTAATTTATCAAAATAAATAAGTAATTAGAAATAACTAAAAAAAAAAAATAAACAAGTAATTAGAAACAATAAAAGTAAGTTAATTCAAGAAATATAATTATAAAATAATTTAAGATATTGAAAAAAAAAAGGGACAAGACAAGCTAAGTTGTCGGGTGGAAGGGTTGCAGCATTGAGGCAAGTGATTAATATATTTTGGGGGACAAGAATTGTACAAGCTCAGCTGCCCATGTGGTCCTGTGATCAAGACTTAAACAGAATCAACGGTCAAGATGCCTTTTGGAAATCCGTAGGACCAAAATCAGGACCGTCCAATTCTGCTCAATTAAGATAAGCACTAAGTTAACAAATATTGAGCATGATTATCTATGTGTTTATCCCCAAAACTTACAAATCACAATTAAGATAAGCACTACTCAATTTGAATTTTCAGATTTTTGTTATTGTTGTTGTTAAAATAAAATTGTATTTAATAGTTTTTTATCTTTAAAATTAATGCGATAAATAGGAGTAGTACTACTATTTAGGGGCGGGGCTACAGTCACTTCAGGTGTCCAGTTGAACACTCTTCATCAAAAAATTACGTTGTATGTATATGTCAAATTCTATATTTAAAAAATGTATATTTAAAATTAAATACTTTTAACAAAAACTACGTCTTTGATGCAATGATAATAGGTGTCCATTCGAATGAAAAGTTTTGAGTTAGGATCCCATATAGCATAATATTTTATTTATTTTTAACAATCATACATCGTTATTCTTAGATACTCTTTGATAAAAAATTTTGGCTTTGTCATTCCTACTACTCCCTTTGTCCCTAATTACTTGTTCACTTTTGAATTGACATGCTTATTAAGAAAATAATTAATGATATAGTGAATTTACTATTTTACCCCTATTAATTATGAAGTGGATGAAAAGTTCTACATTTTTCAAAATAATTAGTCATTTAATTGAGGGTATAATAGGTAAAAAGAATTTATCTTTTTTTGATTTGCCAAAATGGACAAATAATTAGAGACAACTATAAAAGAAAAAATGAACAAATAATTAAGGACGGAGAAAGTATTATATAATGACAAGTTGACAGCTGTGGTAAGTAATGGGCAGTAGGGTAGTGTTGGGGAGAGATTTGGGAAGGAGAAAAGAAGGCTACCATGTGAGAATTTGAATTCGAGTTTTATTTGATATCAAAATCATTTTTATTAGGAAGCGATTGAGATCTTAATATAAAATTTTATATGGATATATTAAAAGAATGTAGCCTACAGTTGCAATTTGTAGCCACATAAAGTGAATCGAGAGGGAATATCGTTTTCGTTATTAATTTCTTTCTATTTTGTGTCAGTCATGTAACCGTGCACTTATTCTAGCTTCTACTAGTATTTTTATGTACGTCATTGATTGCGAAATTTGACCCTAATTCCAGGGAGTTTTATATTACTACTAGTCTAATAGTTTTTTTTTTTGTCTTAGACATATTATAATTTAATCTTGACTAATAAGAAAACTCCAAAATGATATACAAGATTAATATTGCCGTCTCTGTCACAATTTTTACCCTTCTTCGGATGAGCACTTTGTACGCACAAGATTAATAATGTCTTTTTACTATATATTAAAACATTTATTGAAGGATTATTAACATAAGTAATGAAAATAATAAATATTAACAGAAAAATCTACGAGAGTAATACAAAGATTACTAATATGATCGGACAACAAGATAACATACCATCATCAAATGAAGTTGTGTATACTTCTTCGATCTACCTCTACCTTTCATGGAACTATCTATATACCTCTATTTTTATTAATTATGTTTTGTATTGCCTACATTAAAATATGTTTGTGAAGCTGTAACTTTGTGTGAATAAGGTCATCATGTATGTTGTTGTCCTCTTGAGAATTATTCTGAAAAGATTTTTTCCTGAATCTCAGGAATCACAATAACTGAATATATATTCTTCTCCTTTCTAAGAAATATATATATATATATATATATATATATATATATATCATCAATATCTACATTTGTTATCATGAGATATGCCTTTGACACCGTCCAAGGGATACACCACTAACTTTCTTTATACCCCAAGTGGATTTTTTTATTTACAACATAAAATAAAACAAATAATAACTTTTGGAAGATACTCAACTAAATTTCACAAATTTTGATAAGATGAATTAGCGATTTTGAAATCCAAGTTGTAACACTAATAGTTTGGTTGGAAATAAATTATTTCAAGATTAATTATCCTGGGATAATTTATCCTACCCTGAATATGGGATAACTTATCCATCACTATGGTATAAATAGTTGGATAAGTTATCCCAAATATTGCAATCAAACAAGATATCAAATTTTTATTTCAGGACTATTTATTTTTTCCCCTCACACCAACCGACCTCGTCAGTTTTAGTTTATTTCGTTTACTCTTTTCCCTCTGAAATGGTAAAAGGAACCGTATGCATGCATGATGTCAGTAAATTGGGTTTGTCGAAGCTGAGCCCAAACTGAAGCTCTACATTTGAACCTCTAAAGATATAGGCTACAAAGCCCATCAACTTAGGGGACCTTTCTTGTATGGAAGAAATGATATTGGAAAAATTATCTGAGGTAGCATTTTTTACAATGATATTTTTAAATAATTATATAATTTTATCAATAATAGAATTTTGAGATATATATTTTGCAAAAAATAAACGTTATTTATGAAAAAATTTCATAGTAATGTTCGCTTACCATTTTTAGCTCTTCTCTTGTGGAAATATTTTGTTTAGTTGTCATGAAATTTCAAATTTTATAAGTGAGATTTTTTTAATATTACCCTAAAGTTTTACTTATAGAACTTGAGATTTCAGAACAATGACTATCGCAATTACGAGGTTACCATCATTGTTTCCAGGAAACTGATTCTAAATCTCAAATAAAAGAGTAAATTTTATAGTAAGGCAAAACTAAATTCATTTCTTAAAAAAAGTATATAAAAAGGATATTTCAAGGTAAATCATATTGCCTACTATGTCGTTAAGCTTTTCAACTCAACTTGTAACAAAATCAGACCTTTCCTAGTCAGTAGTCACTGACATTAATTATTTTTCTTATTAATTTACTAGAAGTACTATTACTATTTCAAAAGTCAAATAATTTTCTTAAAGTCCTTTAAAGAATTACTTAGAATTATAAGTTGTGTTAACTCATAATGTAGTTATTAAAAAATTTAATAAATTAAGTGTTTGAATCCTCAATATTTTAATCGCTCACTATAAATTGAAACAAACGGAGTAACTCAGAGCTTGGATAAGCCTTCATTTTCTGGTAATTATGACCCCCAACAGATATGCCTTTTGATAATTGTTGTGCATTTAATTGAACAAGCCTGGAATATCCATTGCATGATCTCAAGTGAGTCAAAGTAGTGGTGGTGGTGAATTGAGTTCAATGAGATAAGAGCAACATCGATAGTGATACAAATATTTCTTCCATATAGAATATTTCTTCCTTTTTTCGAGTATTTTCTTGTGGCCACAAGATTTTTAAAGGCCGTTATTCTTTAAAAAAGTTTGAAGTGACAGGACTTGTCAAAGAAAGTGGAAATTAACTAGTTTTGGATATGTTGGGGACTTGTAAAATATTATTCAAAAAAAATAAGCAAGTTTCTTCTTTTTTTTGACATATATATATATTATGTGAGCTAGAGGTTGGGGTAGGTGTGGAGGGTAAAGAGAAGATGCATGTATTGGAAGAGCTGAGAGAAAACAATTAATGTGAAATGTCAATATTACTTATTTTTATTTTTTTTATAAAAGGAGGTTATTTTTGTCATTTTTACTAAACTTGTTTTGCAATTGAAAATATATTCTAGTTTTTTTTTATCAATTGAATATAGGAAAACTAAAAAAACATTCTAGTTTGAGATAATTGATAACTTTTTTAAGAAAGAATAAAACGATTTAACATCTATTATATATATAAAATAATTTTAAATCATGTGATTTAACTATATGTTATAATATGTACCTCTTAGGTTTCTCCAAATAGTTGGACAAAATGACAAAACAGATATGGGGAATTGGGCATGCATATATGTCAAATACATGTATTTTCAAAGTGGTCTAGAAAGATGAAACATTGAGCCATCAATGCCCCAAAGTGAACAAACAAGTGATATTATTTGTGTGGGATAAGAGTTCATTATGGGTCTATTTCTCTTTAATAATTAATCGGTGGGCATTATTATATATGTGGATCTCTTGGCTGAGAAAATAAGGACCACAACACATACCTTAAATTAATATGTATATCTACCATAGTTTCTCATTTATCTTATTGCATTCATGTCTCCCATTTATTATGGATTTATGGTCAAGGGTAAAATTGGGAATTTTTTGAAAAACCTTCAAAATTTAATATAAAGTATATATTATGGTCATACCTAGGGGTGGTAGAATGGGTAATCAATGTGGGTATCTGTTCATATTTACCCATTTTAAATGGGTTGGGTATCCAACTCATTTAAAAATGGATAAAAATGAATAATACCCATATTACCCATTTAAAAGTTGGTAGTTAAATGAATAAAATGGGTAAAAGATGTGCATTCACACAAACAAAAAAAAAAAGTGATAAAGGATGGGATAGTAAGAAAGTTTTTTTATTAAAAAAAAATGAGTTTTTTTTTACATTTTTT